CCCCCTTTCGTGATCTCTGTATCTCTGTGTGTAACGACTGTTTCTCCATTTCTCCAATTTCAGGGAGGTTTTGGACGGAAGAAAAAGAAAAAAGAAGTAAGACGTTACGTCACGCTAAGTAATACTGCTCTCTATCTCATCCGACTTCTACCTTACTAACATATATATATAATACTACACACGCACACGTGCGGGTCACGTATACGCTGGCGTGCATACATACATACGTACACGCATACATATACACAGACACATGCAAACACATACACACACGCACGCACGCACACTGTGAACACACACGCACAAGTGGACACGCACACGATTTCACGATTTTCTTTCTCACTCGGCAGCATTTGGCCGATCAGTCGATTTTAGACACGCGTCAATCACTGCCCGACACACCATACACACACGTACGACACGATTACTTGCTTACATTTTGCTGAAGGATTGAAAACGAAAAAGTGAGTCACTCACCGGCTCTTCGGTCGGCCGGTGAACGATCGATACTTTTCTTTTTTTAATCACACGATTCCTCGCATCTTCGGAGGAACGTTCGGGGATTTTTGTATTTCCACGCGGGAATTTCGCGAAATCGAACTTTCCGCGCTGTTTTTCCCGTCGCTTGATAAGATTTATCTCGTTTGCGGCGGCATGGAAAAAATATCTCACTATCTCTGCAAAACCGGCGGAGGATTTTATGGGCTCTCCGTTCTCTCCTGGAAACGCGAAATAAAACTGCACGCGTGTCGGAACTATAACGCGCAGACTGTCCGTCGCCATTTTCGCCGATAAATCGTCCGAACGCGACGAATCCGACGCAGACATCGATTTTTCCGATTGCAATTGTGGCTCTCAATACCGATATTTCCTTTTTTCCCTCAAATGGCGCCGCTTCCTCAAAGAGAATTCGCGTGTCTCTCTTTACCTTTTTTTTTTACAGCCACGAAGGTTTCAATCCCTGGCTGTTCTTTCCTCTCTGTGCGCCACGGTGTGCATCGATTCCGAGCGTCATCATTCCGAATCGATATATCGACCAGCCGCCGAAGATGTGCAAGTTTAATCCGCGAGGCATTGAATTCGAAATGTTTTGATTAATTAATTCGGTAACTATTCTCGGTGAGCGCGCGTGCCGCTCGTCCCTCTCCGCTGATATCTCAATGTCGCGGGCTCCTCGCGGATGTCGACGTCGGATGCGTCTTTCTTATCGCGATCGCGATTAATCGCGTCTTTCTCCTCCCCCCCTCCTTGAATATTACATCGCGGCCGAAAGGTAATTAGGTCTCACGATAGTTGGCACGCGATACAAAAAGCAGCGTGCTTTCTCTATAAAAATATACATATATATATATATGTACGTTGCCCTCTTGGTTATTTTGCAACACACACATACACACACACACACACGCTCCTTGGCAAGTGTCTTGACGTCTTACGGTAAAAGCGAGCTGTGCTTGCGCTTCTTTTTAACTAACGCGCGGCTTCCCCCGCGAGATATTTCGTCGGCCCTCTCGGTGTCGCGGAGGTGCGTTTGGGGTCAACCGGAGGATTGGCGCGCACCAATGACAGTCGAGAGCTCGATCCCGTCGAAAGGGAATTCCACGGTGGCGATACATACCGAAAACGCGCCTCCTCGCCGCGCGAAACACCAGGACTCTAAATGTGCTTTCGCGAAAGGCGAGTTCGAATCGCAGGTCGGATGCGTTATGGTTGATCCCAAACGCGATTGCGCGATGCTCACGAGAGGTAGACGCTATAATCACGACCCGACTTCCAAGGCCGCACTCGCGCTGAATTCTCGCGTTTCTTTCGTTTTCTCTAACGAAACGCACGTTGCAGCGGAACGAAGCAGGATAAACGTCCCGCCCTTGGAAAATCCGGTCGTCGGGGATCGCTTACGAGGTGGCGATAGCGACGACACGAATATTTCGCGAGCGGAGGTCGTGGCCGCCTGGTAAACGCTTCACATAGATCGTATGCTGTACATGTAACGCTTGCGTCGACTTAATCTTTTTTCGCCTTTCTTTCTGATTTCTCTTTCTTTTTGGTATCTCTGTGCGAATGCAGCGCGCGCGCACCGTCGCAGCTGCTTCGACGAGCGAGCAAAGTACGCGAGCCGCGGCACGCAATCGCGAGGACGACGCGCGATACCGTATTGATTCACGGTTCGGTCAAGCAATGACAGGAAGTTGTACTCGCCCCGAGAGACGAGAGAGAGGCTCCGCGCGTATTTACGATCGTAAGCGGACTTCGTCCTTCGTCTCGGGCCCGGCGAACCTGATGAGAATTCGATGAAACTTACACGTAGTGTACACTGAAATATTACTTATTAACTAATTAACTGCCTGTACAATTAGAAAAAGATTGACCATTCAAAAACTGAGGTATTTGCAACTCAACTCGATATTTATGATTACGTATTCCTTAAGAGAGACTAGCGTGTTATTTTCAATTTCTATTTTTAATATCATCGAAATCTATATAAAAATATGATAATACATTAGTGCTTGCAATATCGTGTATATATGTTTACCTCAACTTCGTTTCAAATGAACATTCGTTATTTAATGAAATAAAAGTATAGGAACGTAATGTTGCCTCATAAATACTAAATTAATGTCCCTTCGATGTGACACTCAGCCTTACAATCTCCTTAATCAACGCGCGTGAGGTCCTCCTCTTCTCCCGGCGCGCGAATCGCCACGTTGAATTCGCGATTCCCCGCGTTTCTCGCGCACTATGCTTGTACGCCTTCCGCCTCGTGGTCGAATCGATAAAACACTCGGGTCGGAACACGGCTCCGAACAGCCGACTCGTTCTCGGCGGAGAGTCAAGAGCAGCGCGGCCGCAAGTTCGGTTTTAGCGTGGGCTAGCTTAATCTTGCGGATTCTTGAGGGTTCACCGCATTTTCCGTCGTGAAAATGCCCGGGCGATTCACCGTAGCGCTGTCGGCAGCAGCACTCGGAGAATGTTTCCCCTTGGAGACTCGATCAACGAGGCGGGAAAAGACTTTCGGCACGCACGAGCACGCTCCGCAAGAGTCTACGCGCAGAGAGCAGCTCTCGGCGAGAGCACTTGGCTTGCGCAGACTTTTAGACCTAGTCATCTAGATCGTACACGTTTCTTAGCATAGATACCTTTACTAGGACACTCGCATAAGTTCCGATACGTAGTAGTGTTTTTCCCGGGACTGGAGCTCCAATTAAGATACTTGAGCGCGTGTCGGAAGTATCGATTAAATGGATCTCGCTTCTTATATCACTTACTTACGCACTTATTTACGAAACTCCGCGCGGTCTTCACGGTTACCGACACGCGAACGTACCGTCGACGATTCGTTCGGAACACAAAGTTGCGCTGAGCGCTCGAATATAAATTTGCGTAAGCGCACCGGTCATGAGTGCGAGGATGCGTCTCGGGCGCGAACGCACGTCCGACACACCGAGGGAAAAATATCTAAATAATAAAAAGGATTTATTCGGCGGGCACTAGTAACGTATTTACTTAAATCTCCAACTACTTTTATTTTTTAATGGAACAAACAATTGCTCTCATGAAAAACTGCAGATTTAAAAAGTTGTTTTTCACGATATAAAAAATATGAATATCAGTACAAGTAAATGTGTTATTAGTAGCCACCACGAAGAATTATTTATTCCTTAAATATTTTTTCTCTCAGTGTGTAGATTATGTCGAAACGATGGAGAAACGCAAACACACACGGGACGCCCTTTCGTGCCCGTCGATGAGAGACTCTCGAGTATAATTTCAAAGTTTCGGAAGAGAAACATTTTTTTCTCAACTTTTCCACAGATATTTTTGGCTTCTTGCTTTCTTTAAGGGAAAAAGTAAAGTGAATTTTTCTAAATGGACTTTTGTATCTTTGCGAAAGAAACCGAAGAAATTCGCGGGAAAAAATGGGGAAAAAACAAACCTTTCCGGAAACTTTAAAATTATACTCTCGAATTCGCCATGCGAGTTCGCGTGCCCTTACGTGAAATTGCGCGCGACGACGGACCGGAAGATTTGCCCTTAGCCGAGGATCACTAGGATTCGCTGTGCTCCGCCACGGCGGATCTCTCGTTGCGAGAGACTTAGGATAAAGCTGTACTAGTGTCTAGTGTTAGGCAAACTCTATTAGCATCAGACTCGAGTCGGACGTAGAGAGAAAGAGAAATAGGAATAGCATCCTTTTTTTTTTTCCTAATTACGACTCGCCAGAGTTTTCGAGCCGTAGGAGGGGCCAAAGTCGAGCTGATCGCGTGGACCTTCTTCAGGTTCGTATGTGTTCACGACCCGCTTTTAGCACCGACCGTACATTTCGCTATCGTACGCGCGCGCGGCCACGTCGATTCTGCGAAGTATCGCGCGAACTTCCGAGCTCCGCTCGTTATCGTCGCGATAACGATTGCGTCATCGATCGAGTAATCTCATGTTTTTCCTCTTTAACATCGACGCAATGTTTGTTTCGCTCTGTACTTGTACGAGCGATTTCTATACGCGCGATTTATCTTATCGACGCGCGGTGTTAACGTTAATCGAATTTTGCGAACGTTCGTCCAAGCGTTTGTTTACTTTTCTCGGTATTTGTCATTCGTCTCTTTGTTTTCTCGCAGTTTCTCTCGAATTTATTTATCGGCACGTCCCGCGCAATAATAAACGTTCCCACAGAATACCTACAACAAGAATCTGAACATCGTATACCTGATTTCTGATTGGCTCCGTCTGGTTTGGTTCAGCTTCCGGTTTGCTGTGCTCATCGTGTTACAAGTACTCTAAATTCCCCGGGATTTATCAGCGATCGCGTGCAGCTTTCCGCGGGGCCGTTCACGGAGATCCTATTCCCGCGAGAGAGATGCGAGAACTATCTCTCGGAGTGGGTGCGCGATCGAACACGTGGCGGGTTTCGCGTTTATTGTACTATCCTCACACTCGAACTCGCGGTCGAAGTGCCGGCCGAGCTCGGCAACTTGGTTCATCGCGACGCACGATGCAGTGGCAAAGGTCGCGGTAGAGCTCGTCGTCTAGAAGCGGGTTATGAATAACTATTGGTGGCGGCTGGAAAAGCACGCGGATGAATATTTCCAAAGAGGCGATTTCAGCCGCAATATTTCATGCGGCCGAATTAAATATTTCACCCTCGCGTCCCAACGTTGCGAGAAAGAGGGAGTCTCAGCCGCGGGATTGCCGTGTGGTTTTCAACCTTCTGCGTGATCAAGTTTACGCTCACGGCTGTTTCGCGAACGCGCTCGTACATCCTGCGACTTGGTAAATATGCATCTCGGTGCCGAGCGCGTCCCTCGCCAATCTCTCGCGCGGTTTGCGATGAACAAAGAGAGAGAGAGAGAGAGAAAAGAGGAGAAAGCCTCTCTTGGAAATATTTATCACGATCGATCGCTCGATTATTTTCGCTCTTCGTGCCCGAATACGAAGTGTGCGATATGTACGATGGCCCAATTTGATCTTCCATGCGAGACACGGCTCTCCAACGTGCGGAGAAAGGCACAACGGACGCATCGAGAGAATGAGTTTTACAGAATTGTGAGCGCGCGAAGCCGATCCTTCGGTTTCTTCGGCGTCGCGCGCGACGCACGTCTCGGACAGGCTCGCTTCGACGACAGAAACGTCACGGAAACGTGCTTTTCTCGATCGAATCAGAAGACGTCCGAGACGAACGATGCGTCTCTCGCGTTCCTCGCGAAGACGTATGCACGCGTATGGTATATAATACTATCTCTCTCTCTCCGTGAGGAACCGAGCGTGTCATCGAACAAATAATCGTCGCCGATAACACGAGAGGATAAATGAGAGGAAAGCAATGAAAAACGCCGCGGAATCGAAAGTTAATCTTACGAGGATCTCGTTCGCAGGTACGGTATGACGACGAGGACGAGGACGAAGGTCCTCAGCCGGACCAGATGTTCGAGCAGGGAGGGCCGCTCCCGGTCCGACTGCACAACGAATTTCCACCCGAGTTGGCCTCCACACCTCTCGAGGATATCGATAGCTACTACCACAATCAAAGGGTATCGGCATCGGCGCTTAATTGTTCAACCAATTAGTTCGGCTCTCTTAGGGGGAGAGTCGAGTTTTCCGCGAGACGCAGAATATTGCCCGACGAATTGGCCTTCCCTAACAAAGCAGCGGCGGCGCCCACCCGCGCTGCCTCTGTGCGGCTATTTTCCAACTTTCCGTCGAGCGCCGTGTAATTGCCTTTGTGTAACTCTCTTACAGCTGTAACGGCGCGAATACAGTCCGTCTGTCTGTTTGTACGTCTGCCGATCAGCGGAGCACAATGCGATCTACGAGGAAGATTCCCGCACGCTCCTTGAATCCTCAGTCGAGTCTGCAAAACGTGGCTCAACGACGCGATTCAACGGGGGTGGAGCGTTTCGCCTCGGCGAAAAGTGACGGGAAAGATCCTGCGTTTCGCGCAAAACCGATTTCCATCTCTGTTGTCATTTTATTTTTCAGACGCGGCAAGCGTTTGACCGTGTACACCGTTGTATCTGTTCGCAGACCTTCGTCGTCATTAGCAAGGGAAAGGACATATTCAGGTTCTCAGCGACGAACGCGATGTGGATCCTCGACCCGTTCAACCCTATACGACGTGTGGCCATTTACATATTGGTTCACCCGCTCTTTTCCCTCTTCATCATCACCACGATATTGGTTAACTGTATACTCATGATCATGCCCACCACGCCCACCATCGAGTCCACCGAGTAAGTACCCTTATATAATGTGCTATCGATGTTACTCGTTTTCTCATTTGCGGCTCTGCCGGGAGGCAGAATGCCGGTCTCGTGGAGAATATTTAGGAGTGAGCGAAATTTCAGCCGCGCTCTATTGCGCTACTTATCAAAAATGAGAGAAAATCGGATTAAAAGGCCTCGTCGTCGTCGAATAATTGTATGTATATGCATACGGATAGAATATGTGAACATACGCGAGATATATCGAGACGCTTAAACATATCAGATATTTTACGGGGCTGTGTTGATATTATCGACCTTTTGAGATTTAACAAATATTTAAGCAACCAGCTGCCACAAAGTCAGTCGCGGCTATTGTTAAATAGATACTTTAACGGTGCTATAATTGCACGTTTTACCGAATCGAAATTTGTCTTCTACATTTATCCTGTGCAAATTCCATCGAACTTGAAGAATTATTGAAGGATTTCGAGATATAAAACTATACACACAGGTTATTGTCCTAGTTTGGTATTGCAAATGTTACGTTTTCTTCACGATTTGGCTGAAAGAGAAGCAGCACTTATTTTGAGATTATTTAATATTCGATTAATTCTTTCTATTCTGTCCGAATTTAGTCTATTCTTGTTTTCAATAAGCAATGCGTTAATTATGCAGTTTACTTAACTTAGATAAAGTATGTACGATAAGTATTAAATAAATAATATAATTATCCACTAGTTCTTCAAATTTGACGGAATTCGCAGTGTTAATATAGATGCAAAATTTCGAATTGGAATAGTCACGTTTCTATTTGCCTGTCCTCTCGGACAATTCGAGGACCGAGCGATTCGAAGTGTTTGATACTCGAAGAAGAAGAAACTCTCGGTGAACAAATCTTATCGTCGACTTTGCGCACTCGATCGACACGACGGATCGACGAACACGGTTGAAAATGTCGTATCTCTGTGAGATATACGAGGGTTCTAGGCGACGATACACACTTAAGCTTGCCCTTAAGTGACTGTAAATCTGCGTAGTTTAGCGTGCCAACGAGCCTAAGCTGGAGATGCGGTTGTTTGTATCGCCAATTACGCATTCCTTCGTGTCTCGAAGGAGTCTGCGGAGACTCTCAATTACGTCGCTCGATTTAAAAAGAAAAAGGGAAGAAAACTCATCGAAGGCTTACGGCGATCATATGTTGTGAAAAATAGATACTTTAAGTAATATTCTACGTGTTATAGCTCTAATATATGAGTAGAGACTGTGATAAATTGTATTCCGTTGGTAAGTTTTGTACTAGTCTCTCTAGAGGTAGCACTAGGCGACTTGGCAGATCGCGCGAACGATTCAATGTGTTGTAGTATAAAAAATTACGGACTCGCGATCGACGCGAGAGAGTTCTGGGGTTTTCACGAGGGAAGAAAAATCCTGTGGAAGTCAATCGGACGAACGACCGTATTCGCGTATTATATTACTAAATATAATTCGCGCGCGCTTCGAAACGAGCAAAATAAATGAACGTCGCGTAAATGTTTAAAACGGGCGATATTACCGCGTGAGTTAATATTGACTATTTTACAATAATTAATCGCGCACTTAATTGTCCTATTAATACGAAATTTATACGACGGTGTGCATCGGGAACTTGATTTTCCCTGCTTTATATTTTATCATGTGTGCGTTTCTGTCTCTGTAATAACGTGCACATGCGCAAATACAAAACAATCAGACGCGATGGAGCATTTTCATTAATTCACATTGTTAAACCGATGAGAATAACTCGTTCGTGCGCCGTGTGCTTGATACGAAGGTATTCGTAGTTGAATTTCTGTACACACAAATACGCAATATTAACTAGATGTCGATAGTTGGGCGGGGATTATCACCGAATTTGGGACGCGGTTGGTCTCGTTGGCGAAAGTGATCACTGCGGTGCTGTTCAATGCGGAATCTTTCGCTCAAGCGTTTCCAAATTCACCGACAGACTCGGACTGCATCTTTTATTTTACATTCGCGAAGATTTCAGAGATCACAAACACGGAAGAGAAAATAGCGTGTCCGTCGCAACGCGACAGTTGGATGCAATAATTGTGAGTTAGTAGCGATAATTGCAGCGAGATGATTGTGATCACATTTCTACACGAGAAAGCGTCCCTTTCGCGCTAGACGGTAGAAAATCACGACTGAAATAGCACTTAAGGAGCTGAGTTGGTGTGTTTGTTGTTTTCAGAGTGATATTTACGGGCATCTACACATTTGAGTCCGCCGTTAAGGTGATGGCGAGGGGTTTCATTCTGCAGCCTTTTACCTATCTTAGAGATGCATGGAATTGGCTCGACTTCGTAGTTATAGCTTTAGCGTGAGTAGTTAAAACTTATTCTTCTTAAAAGGGAGAGAGGAAAGGAGGAAAAACAAAAGAGGGATTGCGCGAGAGCGAAGCGCAGAGAAAAAGAAAAAGAATAGACGGATGCGAATACACGGTAGAGTATGAAAAGGACAAGAAATGGAGCGAGAAAGGAAAAGTCGTTGTTGTGTCGAGAAAAAGAGAGAGAGGAGAGAATCGTCGCGAAAATGCCGCGGGTGCTAGCCGGAAGTAGCCGTTTCTTTACGTTCTTATAAACTGTACCTCGGGCCGATTAACTCGACTAGAGTTTGCTCTTCTTTGTTTTAGACTTCAAGACGTTGAAACGTCCGACGAAATTTACGATAATTGATAGGAACTATCACGCTCGCAAATTCCCTCCATAGCAGATAGTTCACGATCTGTTAGCTATCGATCTAATTAACGAACAAATAAGAAAGAAAGAAAAAGAGAGAGAGAGAGAGAGAGAGAGAGACAAAAAAAGAAAAGAACAAGTTACCGAATCGCGTGACGACGGCAAAATCCGATGATAAAGATTGCGGCGACCTTCGTGCGACGATGCGACGAAACGACGAAGCGTTGTCCAGAAAACGCTAATTAGTGTCAAGTTAGATCATTCCAAGTTATGACAGTAGACTTCTTCGCTAGATCCGTTGAGTATGCTAACGTAAGACTTACGTAGCATCGAATTGTATTCGATCTCTCTCCGTCCATCACGCCTCACGTTACACACGCAGAGACACATACGCGCATACACGCATACTACACAGACTGGGGTGTACTTATTCTAGGTACTTGAATTAGTTTACCTAGATAGGGATAGTTATTATCTTTTATCTCTTAGTAACCTTCGACAGAGAGTTCTCTCTTTATTGCCATCGTAATACGTTGACTTTAGACATTAGTAATTTTACGTCGAGTCCATTGAAACAGTTGACTAATTGTGTAGTTTAGTACATATATATATATATATATATTATACTTCAGTAATTGTTCATAGATGACCGATACGTGTATACGTTTCACTCGGTAAACGAGTACTCGACTGCGCATCGTAACATTGCCGGTCGCGTGCCAACGATTTTCTATTGCTGCGAATCGCGAGATTTTATCTTAAATTATCGCCCCGCTTTCTCTTATTTTCGCGACGCAAACACGAATCGAGCAATATCGGGAGCCGATTACGGATTTGATCTCTCGTCTCGCTGACGATCCAATTAAATCTCCTCATTAGAACAATACAGCGCGTTATTAAAATCGTAATTATACCTCGATAGCGATAAAACGATCCGTCGATGAGAAGAAGGTCCACATGGCAACGCCGAAAATAATTTGACAGCCGCGTGTGATCGATCCCGCGGATTCGTTCGAATCGCGCTCGATGCGACGACGTATCCTCACCGTTGGAAATAACGCGGCGAATTCTCGAGGAAGATGCGGTAGGAACGCGTGGCAAGCGGTATACGGCGTGTTACGTTGAATCGTGCATGCAGTAATAGCTACCTTTATACGATTACACATTGCAGTTCGTGCAGACTTTTGGTAGGCAATAGGAAAAGTAGCGAGTATTCTGACCGTTTGCGTAACTACCACTACCTGCCCCGATCTTTTTTCTAAAAGTTTTGTCTTTTTCGTTTCGTATCACTGTAATGTGTGTGATGTTCGGGTGTATTGCAGTTATGTGACGATGGGCATAGATCTAGGCAACCTTGCCGCTCTCAGGACATTTCGAGTCCTCCGAGCCTTGAAGACTGTCGCTATTGTACCAGGTATGCTTAGAGAATAGAAGTGGTCGTAGATGCAAATAGTGGTTTCTAGACACTTGCCGCGGTCGTTGTACACACGTTTTCCCGTATCATCACGTGTTTACGACAGTTTCATCTCTCTCGACGCAGCCTCCTCTGTCGCACTTCGCACCCCGTCGTCCCTGTTGGCCACATCCGGTATACCTCCAAGCGCCTCGTTTATTTCGAGGATCCCCTTCCGATCGATTTGTCTCTGTTTTTACTTTCTTCCTCCATCTCCTCCTCCTTCTATCTCCCAGTTATGTGAAACGAATTATCGAACACGATGCACGAATTCTTTTAGACGCGGATAGAAGGAGAAAGAAGTTGCTCGTATCGATAAATTCTTCCTAAAGTTCGATCGATGCAGATTATTTTATTTCCAAGCTCAGAATTATTCCCATCTACTTTCGGAATATCCGGTGTGCGTGACGAAATGTCACATCGCAAAATTGCGTGCATTGCGTGCGACGCTCCTGCCGAATCCTCCAGATCACGTTACCTTTTCTTCCGAGACATCAGACTTTTCACCTCGCATCTTACATTTCATCGGACACGCCTGCCTCGGTCGAACCGCCATCTCTTTCGCACGATTGACAACACCGACACAAGGTGTTTCTCCGAGCGGCTGCCGTTGTCGCGGGCCCCACACTGAGTCTACTGTCCTTCTGTTCTCGTTTTCTAGGTCTGAAAACCATTGTCGGCGCTGTGATAGAATCCGTGAAGAACCTGCGCGATGTGATAATCCTGACGATGTTCTCCCTCTCCGTCTTTGCGCTGATGGGCCTTCAGATTTATATGGGGGTCCTCACGCAAAAGTGTATAAAGAACTTTCCTGAGGACGGCTCCTGGGGTAATCTCACACACGAGAATTGGGAGCGATTCGTTAGTAACGAAAGTAAGTAGCTTTCTTTGAACGGCTTAAAGAGAGACCCTCAAAACACGAGAATTGGCCAGCTCGGCGATATATATATATATATATCATTAATATGAAACTTTCGAATGTAAAGTCCAATGTTAACGAAGAGCTTCGCGCGAGCTGGTAATTTCACGGGAATAATGAGAACAATGAAGTTTCTCTTGAAATTAATTTCCGATAATACATCGTTAAATCGCGCATTGTCGTTGTTTCTCCCACACAGCTAATTGGTACGTGGACGAGGCTAAAAATATGCCCTTATGCGGAAATTCATCGGGGGCAGGGTAAGTTGAAGATTATTTGCTCACGTTGCATTTCTCACAATGATACTATCAACCCAGACGAATACCGATAACGATCGATCAATCGCGTTCAGAGATAATGTTGACATTGAAGTGTTCTTCGCGGAAAATGCGCGTCTCTGTGAAATGCCCAATTCACGCTGAACGTGATGTTTTCCGCACGTAGGCAGTGCCTTCCCGGCTACACGTGTTTACAAGGGTACGGCGATAATCCAAATTACGGCTACACGAGCTTCGACACTTTCGGTTGGGCATTGCTCTCCGCCTTTCGTCTTATGACTCAGGATTATTGGGAGAATCTTTATCAACTGGTGCTGAGATCGGCCGGACCGTGGCACATGCTCTTCTTCATCGTCATCATCTTCCTCGGATCCTTCTATCTCGTCAATCTGATCCTCGCTATTGTCGCGATGTCGTACGACGAGTTGCAAAAGAAGGCTGAAGAGGAGGAAGCCGCTGAGGAGGAAGCCATGAGGGTAAGCGAACGCGATCTCGCGTGTGGCGGGAGCAAATGCCAACGCAAAAAAAAGAGATTGCTGATCTCGTGGCAAATTTTCAGGAACAACTTTCTTTTAAAAGGAAAATAGCACTTATACAAAAAGTCTCCGGATAAAAAATGTTTTGAGTCTTAAAGAATTACGCAATTATAGAGTCACACAACAGCTAATTCGGCTTTTTTTTCTCGGCACAATCTCGCGAAATTGGAATTATCCGAAGAATATCGAAAGCACTGACGTGTCGTCTTCCGTCTGGGTCGACAGGAAGCCGAAGAAGCCGCGCTGGCGAAGGAGAACAAGCTCGCGGCGCAGGCCGCGGCGCGGGAAGCCGCTGCCGCGGCGGCTGCCGCCGCGGATCAGATCGTCAAGTCGCCGTCGGACTTCTCGTGTCACAGCTACGAGCTGTTCGTCGGCCAGGAGAAGGGCAACGACGACAACAACAAGGAGAAGATGAGCATACGCTCGATCGAGTCCATGAGCGATCAGAGGCACAAGCAGATCAACAACAACCACAGCGCTGCCAATAAAGTGCGAAAAGTCAGCGCCGTAAGTATCCGGCTGGCAGATGTACGATCCGACCTTCATTCCGCGTCGTTTCGACGTAATGTAATACGTTTGGCCCTGTTATCAACCTCAATCCCCCCGACACCTCGCTCCTACGAGAGCAACTTATGCGAGGCAATTCGATTCGACTCGACTCGTCGGTGATCGACTGCGATTCATGACGAAATTACGGCACCGGGCGTCGCTTCCAAGTCCGGGCGCCGACTTTTTTTCCGTTATGACGTGGGACTCTCGAATTAACTATCTATCTATCTACCTATCTATCTATCTATTTATCGCAGTCCGCCAGTCGTCCGGGCTGACGGAGAAAGAGGGAGAGAGAGAGAGAGAGTCGTCAGAGAGAGTCGGGTTATTAGGGGATCGAATCGAGCGAGTCCCGGCACGTGCGCAAACGAAAACACACGAATGCAAATCGAATGGGCGATCAGGCGAACTCGGTAATCACTTGTATGTACGTGCTGCTGGTACGCAGGTATCGTATAGCCAGAGGAAGCGAAACGCTGATCAATCCGCGTTTAGGAATACGTGAACGCAGGCGCAATCAAATTGGAGTCAGAAACGAACGCCTGGCACATACTTTTTCAATACCTCAGCCATACAACAATGTTTATTATTATTATTATTATTATTAACGCACGGCGAAGGAGAAAACCGCGACGAGTCGAGCCTTCCCGTAATATCCGCCGCTCTGTAGCATGCTTGGCGTATGTATAGGACGTCCCAAAAAATGTTCACCGACGTGGCAGGCTTGCGATCTTCAAGGAAGATCGACGTTGCTCCTCGTCGACACGTTGACCGCCGTTAGGGTCGCCAATGACTGCCGCCATGATACCATCTTGTTAATATACATATGATGATTTAACCAATTGCGTATAATAAATTAAATATATAGGGAGCTAATGAAACGAGCTAACGAATATACGTGTCGTAAATTGCACCTGTCTACCACGTGTATAGATGGTGATTAAAATTTTCTTTGAGCATCGGACTAATCAAGTGGGAATCTCGGCACGGCAGTCAACGTGCCAACGGGGATGTTTCTACGTCCGCGTGAAACACACAAAAAATAATAAATCACGGCATCGTCGAGCGAACCTCGACGAGGAAACGGTCGATTGCAGATTCGCTGTGAGAAAACCCCGCTACTCGCTGCAAACGTTTTCTGGGACTCGCTGCGTATCTCGACTGCTCGTGTTATGTCATGACCCTCTTGGATAAATGGCTTTATACGCATAGAACCCGTCTCCCTCCCATCGATCATTCGCTCTAGCTACGACATGAATACAAATCCCGAAGCGATTTACCCGCCGCCTTCGATCTTGCGATTTTGCGCAAGTGGTAACGCGCGGAACAGTGTATCCCTCGACCGTGTCGACGGCGCATACGTTTCAATCCTGTTTTATGGAGCCATGCATGCGGAGAAGTACACCCTGCGATTAGTATTCGGCGGAGATACGAAATATCGGGAGTATTGCTCGCACGCTAGACGCTTGAGAAGATGCGCGCGGAGCAACGGTNCCCCCCCCCCCCCGATTGGCCCGAGTTGCTCGTTCAACGGACATTTCGACGGACGGACGATGATTATCCGAAAAATTCCGATTGATTTCTCGAGAGAAAGAAAAATATATACCAACCGCTATGTTAAACTCCGTCCGATCAACGCGACGATTTGAATTTAAACGGCTCCGAAGATAAAGATTTGCCACGTTGGCCCGCGTATAATCGCCGATCTTTTCGTGTCTGCGTTCTCACTAGATCCGTAACTTCTCTTCTTAGATCCCGTACAATATTGCGACCAAGAGCACTCTCTCGTGCAACCTCCTTAGCTGTTCTGTTTTCTTCGTTTCTTCCTCTCCCGTTCTCTCTGTCTCCGCATCCACGATTGTGTTATATGTGTGCTTCTGCAAGTGTTTTTATGTGATACTACCCATTCCGAGTGCCTCGTTGGTGTACACATTTAGACCACGTTACGAGCCGTTTGGTAGGAGATATCTTTTCTTGTTTTTTTCTTAAGGTCCCTCGCGCCGCTAATGGCCAGTTTACTTATGCCTACCAGGAAAGTCTGCGGAAGGTACGTGTGTCACGACGTGTGTCTGTCAGCACCGACCGTACGTACTAAATAGCACCATAGGACCCGATCACACAATATATCACGAATGTCATCCTACGGGGCGAAGCCATATACATCAATGCTCCGCGCGTTACGACTCGCAGTCGTCCAGAGAACGCTGCTTGTCATCTTAAATCGCGCGTGTAATCGTGCGCGCACGTCATCGCGCACGCCTTTCCGCCTCACGGATTTCCGTCCCGACACGACCTTGTGATCATCGCCGATGGTCGATCGTTTCGCGCCGATCAGTTTCCGTTTCTTTCGATTAGTCGCATCAAGAGTAGACTACGATCGATACGCGTATCATTCGGGAAATTGAGTACCGCAGCACGCTTGGAGGACGACCGGACAGGCGGGCTGCGTTTAATACCGCTTTGTCGATCGTGGATGATGATCGAAGCAGGCAATCGGGACGGAAGGACGGAACGCGTAGGCCGGCTTGTAACGAAGAGACACTCGCTGTCATTCAGCCAACACCTCCGTGACCTTGTCAGTTCATCCGAACGAAGCGAATGAGTCCGGAGATATCGTGAAGACAAGTGTACGGGGGATGACGTGTCGTTCCTCCACGTTGTTTGGCATACTCGAGACGCGAACGAATTTCCGCGCCCGTGACACACTCCGAGCGATCGCCATCGAACGTTACGGTAGGTCGCGATCGATCTCGGTGAAACGCGGGAGGGTAAATGTCATGATCGTCCCGAGGGAGTCGCCACGCTGAGAAAGAGAAGGAAAGAGCGAGGGGGAGAGAGAAAGAGAGGTAGATAGAGAGAGGAAGAAAGAGGGAGAGACGCCCTTTCGCTCGTTTTTCGCTGAGAGGGTCGAGAACGGAATGAGAGAAAAGCGGTGGTCCGCTCTGTTGTAATTTCAGGCGAGCCTGAGCCTACCCGGCTCACCGTTCAATATACGCCGCAGCAGCCGCGGCAGCCACCAGTTCACGATACGCAACGGCCGCGGGCGATTCGTCCCGCCGGGCGGCGACCGGAAGCCCTTGGTACTCTCCACGTACCTGGACGCCCAAGAACACCTGCCCTACGCCGACGACTCGAACGCGGTCACGCCGATGTCCGAGGAGAACGGCACGATCGTCGTGCCGGTGTATTACGCGGCGAACCTCGGCTCGCGCCACTCATCCTACACCTCGCACGCCTCGCGGCTTTCCTACACGTCCCACGCCGACCTCGCGTTCGGCAACATCCGCGGCATCGACAGCATCGGCAAGCCGATCACCAAGCAAGAGCAGATACTCAGGAACCGGAACAACAAGCAGACTACACCCGCAAACGGCCATGTTACGGACAGCAATCAGAAGTTCTATCATCATGTAAGTAGCGGCCGATACGACGATGAGCCCGAGTCGTAATTTCATTTCTACTTTAAGTCTCATTTAGTTCTGTATTAAGTGTTCAGTGGGGAAGCTAGTCTGATTTCAGATAGAGAGTATTTCGTGCGCGGAGAGATCTGCAAAAATCACTTTTGCCGTTTTTGCAATTTTTACGGAACTTTGCAGGAAACCGACCTGGAGGATCCCATGGGCAAGAGCAAGCAACAAGACAATCCGTTCATCGAGCCGTCTCAGCAGCACACCGTGGTCGACATGAGAGGTGAGATCGATCGTTCCATCGCGAGCTAATCGCGAGCGCAATCAGTGGCGGAAAGATCGCAAGCACTTTACCTCGATGAACGTTTCTCTGAAATTATTCTCATACGTAAGCAAGAATGTCATAATATTCTCAGACAATTTCTAGTCTTCAATTGAGTTCAAGTAATACTCGCATCGATACGAATTCAATCAAATCAAGACTAAAAATCTTCGAAGAAAATTATAATATTCCTGCTTACACATGAGAACTATCTATTCTTGATTTAAGACTAATTCTTTCCCCGTGTCGACTGCAAAAACAAACAGCGTTGCAAACTTCCCGCCACTGATTATATACCGCGACGGTAGCTCTCGAGTAAACGAGCTCACCTGTCCCGTCGTATCGTCCATAGATGTGATGGTACTGAACGACATCATCGAGCAAGCCGCCGGTCGCCAGAGCCAGACGCCGGAGCAAGGAGGTAATGTCCCACGTGCCACACCCCCCCCCCTCCTTCCTCGCATTTCGCAGTACCTCAACTTCTTCTTCTGCCGTTTTATTTTCCTTTTTTTTTTCTTCTTCGATTCTGTTAGTTCCTATCGCAGTTGTGTATATTATCTGGTTTATCGTGTGATAAGCATCCTGTCGTGTTCGATGTACATTATCGTTGAGACCTCTGGTATACACTGCGTCTCCCTGCGTCGTCGTTGGTATACCTCGCTGGACATTATTGGGCTGCGCGCCTTTTGTACATAGTTAGATCGAAGGAGGTTTCTTTCTGTTGAATTTTTTCAAATGCCGACGCAGCCAATGTGAGATCACACTGCGGTGTATTCGTTTACTTTTTCGGGACTTCCGCTTCACGACTCACGAGCATGGTGTAAACGTGTGTAAATCGACGCGATACGATACATACACGATGGACCGATCTGCCACTGTTTCTTAAACCGTTCGCCACTGTCGTACACAACCCGGACGAGTGGATCTAGACGGCGAGTAATGTAAAGCACAGAAGAGATATTGTCGCTCGCTGAACGGCGTGATGCGACGAGACAGAATTCGCAATCGCGGCCTTCGTCGAGGGCGGTTTGCGAAAGTATTTTTGGGGAAACAGAGTTTGTCCGTTCCCTACGACATGACACAGATTACCACCTTCGCCGCAGCTGCACGATACTGGTCGCTTCATGCTTGGATTTTCTTTTCAAATTGTCTCAATCGTCGATATATTTTCAAAACAATATTTTGGTGTCTTTAGTGTAATTACTTGCGTTAAACTCACGAACGTTTGAGTTATCGAAACGTCTTTATATTTGCGAATATTCAATAATATTGTTCAGTTATCATATCGATCGGTTTACTTTGTAAAAACTAAAAGAGCGACATTGCGATAAAATCTGTATCTTACAGATGAAGAATGTTGAATGAATATTTTCTCTTTCGTCGATGATTGAGAGAGATCCTGTTTATCCTTTGTTTTTCCGATACGAAACTGCAGCGATTTTGATTGGTCCTTCGATATCTCTGCATCCGCATCACCCGCGTCGAAAGGCACTTTTCGTGTTTTGCCTCTGGTGCACAGTACGACGATCTTACGTACTTTCCGGAATTAGAGAGGGATGTCTCGTAGTACGTCGTTAGTCATCGCGAAGGATACTCGACGATCCACGATTTCATCGCTACAAGTTTTTGCACGTCAAGTTGCATCTTTTCACCTCTGCGAATTTCATCACCGTCACTCGTGAAAAATGAATACACATTTGATTTTTCTAATGAGGACATGCTTGGTTCGAGAGATGTACAGCCGTGTGTGTAGGTATTGTTAACTATATCTCATTGTCGAGTGTTCCATCTGGAGAGAATTTCGCGTGTTTACGTTTGCACTTAGCTATTAATTGATCGCTCATGCATAACATTTAATCCTTCCGCCGCAGAAACGTTTCTTCTGAAGAGCAAATCTCAAGTAAAATTTGCATCTCCGTCGGAGTTTATATTTTTAAATAATTATAATAATTATACGATGGAGTCGCGATTCGAAGGTAAACAAAAAAACAAACAGTTCTATTTCTATAACAGCGGAAGAGTTAAAGCTGTAAAATGTGAAATATAAAATCACTGTAAATAATATTATGTCGCGCCGATGGTACTTGTTTCTTTTATCACGCTTTGCAATCACCGACTTCCTCGAGTTTTTTTAATACACATACGCACATCATACAAAGTATATATCGAGCGCTACGCTGTTTATCATACCGAAAAATGAATACGATAGGTATATATTTTTACAATTAAAATAAACACTTTCTCGATTTTTTCATAATATAAATGATCATAGATGAAACATTCGTAAGAACGTTCTTCCCTTTCCTCTTAAAATTTACAGGGTCACAAATACCATGTGATCGATGTCTGTATTTTACGCAGCGTGGCTTTACATATTTATCTCCACTGAAATTTGCGCGATCCATTACTCGGAATGTGTGCGCTTCTCTTAATTTCGCCTCGCCCCCTGTCTGCCTGCTTGACTGCTTGCCTTCCTGCCTGCCAGCCTGCCTGCTTGTAATATAATCTGTGATCTCGAAGAATGAGCCTGACCAAAGAAAAACCTCTTTCCCCAAAAAGAGTGGTGCCAGACAAAATTACTAACGCGCGTTACAGTTTCGACCTATTACTTTCCGACAGACGACGATGAAGAAGGGCCTACGATGAAGGACAAGTTATTGGCCGGATTGTATCGTTGTATCGACATATTTTGCGTCTGGGACTGCTGTTGGCTCTGGCTCGAGTTTCAAAAGTACGTGTCCTTGTTGGTCTTTGATCCGTTCGTAGAGCTCTTCATTACACTCTGCATCGTCGTCAATACGCTCTTCATGGCATTGGATCACCACGACATGGACAAAGATATGGAGAGAGTGCTCAAAACTGGCAATTACGTGAGTATCGTTACCGACAAAGTGAATATACATATGCGTACATATATATATATATATGTCTGCGATATTGAGAACTAAATGACACGAAGAGCTAAAACTGACGATTCGATTTCTAGTTCTTCACGGCGACATTCGGTATCGAAGCGACTCTGAAGCTGATAGCGATGAGCCCGAAGTTTTATTTTCAAGAGGGCTGGAACATCTTCGACTTCATCATCGTCGTACTCTCGCTCGTGGAACTGGGCCTGGAAGGCGTGCAGGGCCTGTCGGTATTGCGATCCTTCAGATTGGTAACTATCGTATATTTCGCTGTTATCGTTACGCCGGTCGACGAGCTATCGTCTTCACCAACGAAATCTCTTTCAGCTGAGAGTGTTCAAGCTAGCCAAGTCATGGCCTACGTTGAATCTGCTGATCTCCATCATGGGCAGAACTGTGGGCGCGTTGGGCAACCTGACGTTTGTGTTGTGCATCATCATCTTCATCTTTGCCGTGATGGGCATGCAACTATTCGGCAAGAACTACGTGGACAACGTCGACCTATTCCCGGACGGTGACATGCCCAGGTGGAATTTCACTGATTTCATGCATTCCTTCATGATCGTGTTCCGAGTGTTGTGCGGAGAGTGGATCGAGTCTATGTGGGACTGCATGCTGGTCGGCGACGTCTCTTGCATACCATTCTTCCTGGCCACCGTCGTCATCGGTAACTTGGTCGTAAGTATGAAAGCGCAATCTTCTCTCGTCACACATACGAGTAGATATTTATTTAATTTGCTTCTTTAATTTACTCAATATTATACATCGATTAATCGCGGCTTACTTTGTCACAAAACAGGTGCTGAATCTCTTCTTAGCTCTGTTGCTGAGCAACTTCGGCTCGTCGAATCTGTCGGCCCCGTCTGCGGACAACGACACCAACAAGATCGCGGAGGCGATCGATCGAATAGCACGTTTCATTAAGTGGATCAAGCGAAATGTTCTTTACATTGCTAAGTTGATGCGAGCCAAATTCACCAATCAGATATCCGATCAGGCGCCAGGTGAGGGACCGTCCAACAGTTGGAAAGAAGGTTTATATCCAATCAGATCGCTTGCTGTGTGCGCTGTGTAGTTCGTGGCACTGTTTTTCAGTTTTGCTTTACACTACTTCTTCACACGTTTTGCCAGTGCCAGTCGGCGATCGACTAGTATTTAGTGGATCGCGCGAAACTACGACGACGTACGATTCAGAGAGATCAGAAGCAGCAAGCGGGCAAAAGTTCGCCTACTCCGCGACGTTCGAAATTGCTACTCGACACTTCTTCTCCTCTCGTTTTATTGTTGAGATTTAATCTTTTTATTTTACTATCGCGACACGATGGTGGTGCCGGCTAGTGTGTAATACGACGAGGGCGTATACATGTCGACTGGCACATTCGATTTATTATGCAGACTCCTTCAATTTTATTTAGTTCGCTATTCTGCTTCGTTGAGATCGACGTGTTGCGTTAACATGTAATTTCGTGCACAATTCGATGCAGATAATCGGAATTCTGATTTCCTTCAAATTGGTTCGGTTTCAAGCCCGATTCGATAATCTTCCATTCGTTAATTTCGCAACATCGAAAGAGGATAGAATAATTTTCCGAAAATGGAAAAGGATTGACAGTTTACGGTGGGGTTAATCGCAAGTTTAATTTTGTTTCGCTGATTAGCCGCCTGGCCGTTATACGTTGCTATGCATTTTATTTTGGGAACGCATTCTATTACGTAACTTCGATGATGGAGCTGGTCGTCCAATGGGACGCGGATTTATCATTAGAATTAGACACACGTACACGAGGAACTCGCTGCGATACGTGCTGCGTCTCTTTTGACAATATTTTGTAAAATTTTTTTTTACATTCTTTTCTACATAGAAACACGTTTTTTTTAAGCCTCGAGTAATTTTCAGTCTCGTCCTTGTGTACATCTCAAAACAATTATTTCGGTAATAATCCAGAAGAGGGGGAACTCTTTAACTCTTTATATGATGATTTTGATCGCCGACCTAGATCATTTTGATTGTCCCACGTGTAACGATGTGATATAACTAGCAGGAATCGATGTATCGAATCCGTCCTCATTCATCGGAGATTTTTATAACGATACGAATAATGATGCGGCACGTGTCGCGCGTGTAAAACATCACGGCGCTGATGAAAATCGCTGACGCACCGTTCCCGACGCCGGCTCGTCGGTGCCTAACCGAACATAAGTGACACCGTACACGATTGCATGCGAACGATGTGATCTGTTGTTCTGGTTCCTACGATGTGTTGGGAAAACGCGACGGAAAACAATACGTACGTGTACATACTCGTATGTGAGAAGACCATTGTACATACAGAGTGAAAGTGGAAGAAAGAGAAAGATGATATTACCGGCTACGGCGTTCTCTATCATTTCAGTGCGTTTCGGTTTGTTTTCCGATACGAATTTCCTGATAAGGGCGGGTTAGAGATTTTGTATGACTGTGCAGATGGAATTGATCGCGATGGGGACCTAGATCTTGCAGATGGAGAATTGGACGCATACAGAGACAAGAAGAGCGCCAAAGAGCTCAACCAGCTTGAAGTTGCTATTGGCGATGGAATGGAGTTCACCATCCATGGTAAGCGTGTCGTAAACAACGAAACTGTAATTTTCTAATTCGTTGATCTCGATAACGATTCTCTTCTCTCGCACGACCAGCGTACCCCTCCGACAGAGATGTCACACGACGTGGCAAACACGTGGAAAAACGAATAAGACCGTCCACGAGGACTTCCTTTCTTTTCCTTCGATCTTTATACTACCAAAGATAGTTCCATGGAGTTCCTTCGCAAGATATTTATAAATTCTGCCCTTTTATATGGAGGCTAGGCTTTTTATAAAATCGCTGAATTTATAAAGATCCCGCGACGATAATCCTGTTACTTTCACGCCTAAGTTTTGATACGTGAGACAATCGGAGAAATTATTTTCTTAAGATTAATATAAACATTGAAGAAAATATATTGCCTTCGTTCAAAAAAATATATACAGATTTTCATGCGTATAGTCCATGGTGCTCATCGATCAGGTCTCGCGGAATAAAGTTGTTACTATATAGGTTGATTAATATATCGAATTAAATTCCCTTTTCAAAGGAGATTTGAAGAACAAGCTGAAGAAGGGCAAGCTGTGCATGAACAATACGAAGGTTATCGCGAATTCGATAAACCACCACGATTATAGGCTAGACAACGATTACATTAATCAGAACGAGGATGATACCATCAGGTCCGTCAAGTTTTTCCTAAATCGTTCGTACATCTTAGGTGATATCACTAAGAATGTTTCTATCTTTCTCACAGCAACAAATCATACGGCAGCCACAAAAATCGGGCATTCAAGGACGAGAGTCATAAAGGCAGCATGGATTCGCTAAACGGTGAGGAGAAGAAAGACGCGAGCAAGGAAGACTTGGAACAAGAAGAAGGTAAACGTCATGTTTTATTTAACCTCGTGGAACTTTTGAAACATCTTTCCAAGAAAGACCGACGAACGATAATAACGCATCAGAAAGAAAGAGTAGATGATCACACGCCTCTCCACGATCAAACGCTTCAAACTAACAGATGTAAAATTACATGCATACAGATTTGGAAGACGAAGGTGAGGAAGGGGAGGAGCTCGACGGTGAAATTATACAGGCGGACGATGACCCGATCCAACCGAATTATCCTTCCGATTGTTGTCCGGAAAACTGCTACAAGAAGTTTCCATTCCTGGCCGGCGACGACGACGCACCGTTTTGGCAGGGCTGGGCGAACCTGAGATTAAAGACCTTCCAGCTGATCGAGAACAAGTACTTCGAGACTGCCGTCATCACCATGATCCTTCTGAGTAGCTTGGCCTTGGTGAGATCACACCTCATTTCGCTCGTCGCTCGAACAGAGATCTAGGATAATCGAGTCGATAATCGACCGGACGATTTGCAGGCCTTGGAAGACGTTCATCTCCAACAACGACCTATCCTGCAGGACATATTGTATTACATGGACCGAATATTCACTGTGATCTTCTTCCTCGAGATGTTGATCAAGTGGCTGGCCCTAGGATTTAAGAAGTATTTCACGAACGCCTGGTGCTGGCTCGACTTCATCATCGTCATGGTAAGTCGAGTGCCTTCCGCTTTATCTCTCTTTCTCTCTCCTTTCTTTCAATATCCACTTACTCGAAATGTTTGATTTTGTACAACGTGTGCAATTGACGCGGCGCATTCATCGCGGAGTGTCGATGCAAAGTAAAAATACAGAAAAAAAAAGGTAAACCGATTTCAATATGTAAAATCAAAATGTCGATGAAAGGAAAGCTCGAGATTGCACACTTGACAAATAATGAAACAACGAGAGGATCTTCTCGTTCTCGAATGACTTCGTACGCGAATCAGTCGTTCATTGTGTCGCCTCCGCGTCTCGTATACATCCGCGCAGACTGTAAATACGACACCGCGACAATCTTATCGATCGCGTGTTCTGCCAATCGATCAAGAAGATAACCTGAAGTCATTCGCGATACACGCGCTTGCGGAACAACGCGTGCGTCCGTGCCTCGACGGAGAATTCAAGAGCTCCGACTAAAAATATATTCATTCACGACATTAAATATATTTTATATGACGAACAGCAGCGATCGATCAATCTAAATAAACTGACAAGGCTGGGGCACGGACGTTATTTTCCGCTTTACGTTACGTATGACGAGTCTCATGCGCGAAAGGAGATCCCTCTCTCGTTCCTCATTTCGTCCCCCTTTTTTCCGTTTTTCTTTCAACTCCCCGTCCATGCCTGAACGACTAAAGCCGACGTGTGCGAAGCGGTGTGGGAGCCGAGCGTCGAATAGCTTCCAGTGGATTTCTCTTAATCGATCGCCACGTATTATTGTAAGAACCGACTCGCAAATCATGTCTCGTCTGATGAATGTTTGATGAAACTAGCTATCACTGATCAACTTGGGCGCTGTCTGGGCTGGCGCAGCCGACATCCCGGCCTTCCGTTCCATGAGAACACTGAGGGCCTTGAGGCCTTTACGAGCAGTCTCGCGGTGGGAGGGCATGAGAGTAAGTCATCGGTCGACGACGAGGACTTAAGCGATAAAAAAAAATCAAACAAACAAGAAAAGCAAAGAAACCCGCCTGATATGTTGCGTTATCGCAACCGACGTTCGATGGATCGTACGGAGCTAACGGATCGATCGATATCAAGCACGTTCAATCTTTCTCTTTCTCTCTCTCTCTCTCTGTCGAGCAGACCCCATTGACGAGGGACTGTCGGTTTTGCATGAGTCGTCTCTTCTTCTCTGACTGTCTCTCTTTCTTCCTCGCAAGTAGTGCCGTCGCGACAATGAGCCGGGGAGCGGAGTCGGGACGAGTCGAGCTCGCTTTATAAGATCAAAGATTCGGCTAATGTCTCGGCGGGCGACGTTAACGCATAATTAATTAACAGCATTAACGCGCGATTCGCGCTTGGCGAACTGCCAGCCGTCGGTCTTTCGGAACGAGCTGCGAACTATCCTCGACTCAGCTCCGATCCACTGTGGACTCGATGATTTCGATAGAGCACGATATCGATCCGTTGGACGCGGTACGAGGCTTCGGCTTTGAAACACCGGTTCTGGTAAATGAGAGAGAAGGGTGCAAGGGAAAGGAAAGAAAAAAATAAGGAAAACGATAATCCGAAATGGCAAGTGCAAAAAGAAAAGATGGGAAAAAGCAGCTACGGCGGGTGTAGCTTACTATGGTGTACTATGGTGTACTATGGTGTGCTTACCGATGTGCAGAGATACACTGGCGTCTCTACTTGGTGTCCGCACTGATACTGGAGTCATTGTCGTACTAGCTAAAGTCGCCTATGTACGCCTTTTCTAAGAGTCTCTTGGTACAGTGATCGTTGTGCAAAGTACCATATATATATATCTATATATACAATATACATATATATTACATATATATATGCTTTCTGTGTAATGTAAAAACTTCCTCGTATGTGTGTGTGCGTGTGCGCGCGTGTGGATGTTATGTGCGTTTGTGCGCACAATATGTGATATGTTTATCAGGATCTTTCTTGTGGACTGAGACAGCGCATCGCGACGCTTCACCGCGAACATTCCGCCGTACGATCTCCGAGAGGATCGCCCGTGAATTTTCTTTCCTTTCGAGTCGACATATTAACACGTTGAGCACCGTGCTGATTATCGTACAAACGTCTAACTGATGATTAAATCGCTCAAGTTGAAGTAAATAAATATAATTTATAAATATTTCACCGAACATTAAAAATAATACTTCTATACTTATAATTTTCCTATTTAGGAACATTATATTATCAAGTAATAGTTTGAAAACATTTATAAAATATGTCAAAATATTTGTAAGACCGACGTAAAAGTAAATACTTCAAAAGATTGATTTAATGTTTCTTGCTTACTGGGGAACATCTAATTTGAACGTCTCCTTCTACCGTCGCCGTTTGAAACGGGAACGGTGCTCGCGTGAAGCGACGCGATCGCAAGTATGACAAACCTTTTCGTCTGTTTCAGGATGCAGCCGATAGTACTTGCTCGTGTAACGATAATCCCTACCGAGCTGTTTGTCGTTCTATCTATCTCTGTCTTTGAGTGCGTGTGTGTATATATATAAATGTATCTTCCTACGTACATGTGACGATATATATGCACACACAGTCATGTATATCTCCTGGTTACTGTTAACTGCTACGTGTGCCATACCTGGAATCTCTTTACGCCTCTATCTCCCCTTCGTTATATATCTGTCGTATCATATTAACGTAGTCTTGCTGTAAGTACCGCACTACGCGTCCTTAAAATTATTTCAACGATGACGACCCGCTTTTCGGAGCAGACGACGTGTAATGTTGTATCACGCGTGGCTAACTCGATGTGATGCGTCAAGAAACTTCCGGAAATCCTTGACTTTCACACGTACGTCTCGTAACGATTCGATCGTTACTGCTATGTTGTGATGTGATTTTCGATGACAAATCTCTCGACATATTCACACTGCATCCAAATGATTTTTGCATGAATTCCGGGATAATACCCCTTCCGGGGGAACGGATATGTCGTAGAAGATCGTGTAAAAGCACGCGGAAGTATTCTTCGTGACGTTCGCCGATAGTGCACTGAGCGGACGGTACGTTCCTCGTTTTTACACGAGCCCTCGAAAATGGCGGTACTTACGGGAAGGTCATATAATATAATGTACATATGAGTATATATACATATTATACATATATATATATATTTATTTATATATATATATATCTAAATAGATTTAGAATTGCGTCTCTGTACAGATGTCCAAAGCTCGATACGTCGAGGAGTCGAAGGAACGCAGTGACACGTCGATCTCGACCGTCTGTCTCTTTGTATTCTCTTTCCTCCCCCGCCCTTTTCTCTTCCACCTGACCTTATCCCGCCATCCCCGTGACGCTTTCGTCGGAAAGTCTTGATCAAGTAATCCCCTCGCCCCGTCTGTCTACCTCTTGCTGTGATTCGCTCTCGTTTCTCGCTCGCAGGTATCGCTCATTAACTTCGTAGCGTCGCTCGTTGGCGCTGGCGGGATTCAAGCCTTCAAAACAATGCGGACCCTAAGGGCCCTAAGGCCGCTCAGGGCGATGTCTAGAATGCAGGGGATGCGGGTATGTAGCCCACCGTCTCAGCAGACCTTGTCACTTGCTCCGTATCTATCTGTGGGACGCGCCAGAATCGACGCGATATCCTGCGCGTCCGTTCAATTCTGTCGCGGTTGGATAATGATTCACCTTGTTCGATTATATTAATCCCCGATTGTCATTGAAGATATATCTCGCATCGAGAAGATATATCCCGTCGCGAGGAGGCCATTCTTCGCTACGAGTATCTCTTCTCACGGTCGTCTAGTAAACAGCCGCGTGGAGTGTAAAATAAATTACGAGGATTATATAGAGCCACCTAACTTACAGGAGAGAGAAGTTTCGCTAAATATACATTATAGGAAAAATATATTTTTATAATATAGCTTGTGTGACACCACACACGAGGTTATCTGGAATATTATTATTAAGTCGAGCAGAATGCGAGAATATCGCCGTAAAGAGCGTATCTTTTTTTAATTTTTTTCTTTACCAACTTTTCGCCGAGATCTCTGACAAAACTAATGGACTTCCGTTTCAAGTTTTAGATTTAGGTCTAGGTATGAAATAGTCGCGCATTACATGTACTCGAATAATTGGCGATTGACCCACGATTGATAGATTGTTCCTAGAATCGACGAAATTCCCACAAGTGTTAGAGAGAATCATTTGATTTTTCAGTTGTACTTATTATTCGCTTGTATCTGTCGTGTCGTAGGAGTTAAAAAATCGAAAGATTCAATGATACTCGGCGATGTCGACTCTCGGGAAACCGTCGTCGGTCCCGCTCTACGTTCTCTCTTATTGCACGTAGACATGCTGAAATAGAGCAGTCGCGAATGCACAGCCGCTTAAAAGTGCGAATGCGTGAGGCAACGCGTAGACAGTTTTCATCGTCCATTACCGTCCACAGTCGGCCGACACTCACGAAAACACGCACCATATATATATAGAGAGAGACACACGCGCTTATCTTATATACATAGTCACTGATATGCGAGTTGTGCCATCTTATCCTCGCGCGCGAAAACGCTTACGCGTAAAAACGTACGAACGAACGAAATACGCTCGAAACACGAAGATCATAATGGAGCATCTCGTATATCTGACTTCTCTTCCACGAGCCTGATCCACGATGATAGTGCGTGTGATAGAATCTCATACCCGATTACATTGTAGAAACTCTACATACATGAGAACGTTAGGCACAAAGACACCTCTTCACATTCATTCATATCGCAATTTAGAAGTCACACAGAAAAAAAAGTTAGTCTTAAATCAAGAATAGATATTCCCATAGATAAACAAGAATATTATAATCTTAGGTTTTCCTCGAAGTCTTGATTTGATTAAATCTGTATTGATGCAAGCATTACTACTTTGCTCAATTCAGCACTCGATTCAAGACTAAAAATCTTTGAAGAATGTTATAATATTTTTACTTATACATGAGAATATCTATCGTTGATTTAAGATTATTTCTTTTTTGTGTAGCAATTGACGAAACTCGGAAAGTTTCAATCCCGAGTATATAATACATCGTTCGAAATCGAACGATCGTGTTCGCGATCGAAATATGCGATATGAACAGGCGAGATGTTACCTTTTATTCACATCTCTTTCACAACGTAGTGGGTAGCCCGCGTCCCTTACGATCGCCACGACGAGTCGCGACAAGAACGCGCCTTCTTGCAAGTACTCATACAACATACTCGCAACACAAGGTCGCTGAGACACTGGGTGTAGTAATTACTGTCATGCCCACGCCCTGACACTTCTTTCTCTATTTTACAGTAGTTCGCTGCAAATGGCTCCTCGGAGCGTTCAGTATTTTATTTCTTGCGTTTTATTCTTGCACGAGACCACAAGGATAGGGAGATGCAATTGTTTCTAGATTTATCGGATTCATGTGTTCCTCGGGAACGTCTTCTCTCTTTTCCCTTTGCTTCGATGAAACGAGAATGATCGCCCGTACTTTGCTCTGAAAGCGAGCGTTTCATGTAGGTTCGCCTCATCCGACAATTCCGGGGAACATATTAATCGCACGGATCTATCTAATATTTTCAGCTATTTCCCTTTTTTCAAGTATATTATATACCGAATGTCCTAAGAGAGGAGAAAAGGAACACTGAACTTTCGAAGAAATTCGCAGTCGAATTCCCGATGGAAAATTTCAATCTCTCGACAACATTGAATATCTCGACGATTATTCCTCGAGTGAAATTAAGAAGTGACGCTTCTTTTGTCAAATAATGTCAAGGATGCATAATTGGCTTTAAATGCTTGGTGTTAAAACCAACCAAAAACTGCTTAATGCCCGATATATATTGGCTAAGAGAATACACGACAAAAATTTATTCCAAACAGGCTCGATAAGAACCCAACGTCGGGTTTTCTGGGATATTTTGTATATAAACTGCTTAGTGTCTGCAACGGAAACTCTCAGATCGCTTAGTAGACGTGAATGTCGAATGCTTGTTTGCTTCCGTCAGCTTTTTGTCCGTGCTGCAACTTGCGCTCGCTTTATGTGTCGAACTTGCATGCGGCTGCTTTCTGTAGTGTACGCATGTGAACGCAAATCGTGAATTATAAATCACACGATGCGTATCACCACTGATCCACGATCTATCGAAGTCACAGTTACACTAGTTTAATCGACTGTTAATTTTAATACTTCCCACAATAAGAATTGCATACACACTAAATGAAAACAGTGTCGGGTGTCTAAGTCATTAGTCACGTAGTGATTATAACGAAATCACATGCTCTTAATGACGACTTAATGTATACGTTATTGGACAGTGATCAAGAACATTATTTAACATCGAATATTATTTCCGATAGAAGCGGAAATTTCTTGGTGTGTGTGCAAACCAGAGATGAAAGCAAGACACTTCAAACTTCACCATTCGATTTTTAATTCGTTTGGTACCTATATGCTTACAATGATCACACTTTATACCTCAATTCGGTCAATCGACACATTAGAGCTACTTGTTCCAAGACGCTTGCAAAGTCGAAGCATCACGCACAGAATTAAGCTACTGCACAGAGGAACGCAACATATATGAGTAAACGCGATACGATCGGATTTTTATTATCGTATTTACAATTACAGAACAGCAGAAAGTTTTTTTGCAAGAAGAGCGCGCGAGTTAGCGCGCTTCCTTTTTTTTTTTTTTCGTAAATCAACTATTCCTTCATTTATATCTGCGAGAAATTTCGTTCCCGTAAGCGAAGACGATGAATTTTCTTTGTGTATTAAGAGAGAATCGGTTTCGTTTTCACAGGACAATTAAATCCCTTGCGTTTCTGATCGTGATACTAAGCACAACACGCGTATAGCGCGTGGCACAGCCGCCTAATCGCGCATATAAGTGCATACCTAGATGCGTAAATAAGGCAGAAACACATATAATTCGCGTATAATAACGCGTTTAATCAAACTTCGTCTCTCATAGGTAGTCGTTAACGCCTTGGTCCAAGCCATTCCATCCATCTTCAACGTGTTGCTGGTATGCCTTATTTTCTGGCTTATATTCGCTATCATGGGAGTGCAGCTGTTCGCTGGCAAATATTACAAGGTAGGACCTCGATCGAGACGGTCGTTTCTTTTCGAACGACTCGTGTCGCATTCACATATAAGTTGTATAATACCCGAAGAAAAATTTTGCATCATGCGCGACTAATGTTGCAGTGTGTCGACGCGAACAAGACGACGCTCAGCTACGAGATAATACCCGATCGTAACGCCTGCTACGCTGAAAATTACACGTGGGAGAACTCGCCAATGAACTTCGACCACGTCGGCAAAGCGTATCTGTGCCTGTTCCAAGTGGCGACTTTCAAAGGGTGGATCCAGATCATGAACGACGCGATCGATTCCAGAGAGGTGAGCGCGTCATATCGAGCTCCTTCTCTCTCTTTCTCTCCTTCTCTTCCGCTGATTCTAACGAGTTGTGTTCGCAGATCAACAAGCAGCCGATCCGCGAGACGAACATTTACATGTATCTCTACTTCGTGTTTTTCATTATATTTGGATCGTTTTTTACCCTCAACCTGTTCATCGGTGTGATCATCGACAACTTTAACGAGCAGAAGAAGAAAGCCGGCGGATCCCTCGAGATGTTCATGACGGAAGATCAGAAAAAGTATTACAACGCCATGAAGAAAATGGGCAATAAAAAGCCTCTGAAAGCCATTCCTCGGCCGAGGGTAAATTGCAAAAGCGATATATACGTAGTTATTCTTCTCGTTCCTGAGCATCACTTTTTAGACAACGGAAATCGGATTTTTCTACGACTTGACGTTATCGTAGGAACCGTATCGCAAACGAGTTTTGCCGCGGAACATATTAGATTTTACAAGTGTCATAATACTTGACGTAATGTCTTTTGTTTTTTTTTTTTACGACTGTTCACAGTGGCGACCGCAGGCGTTCGTGTTTGAAGTAGTGACGGACAAAAAGTTCGATATGATAATCATGCTGTTCATCGGGCTGAACATGCTCACGATGACATTGGACCATTATCAACAGAGCGATACGTTCAGCAAAGTTTTAGATAATCTCAACTTGATATTCATTGTGATATTCTCCAGCGAGTGTGTCATGAAGATCTTCGCTCTGCGCTACCACTACTTCAAGGAGCCGTGGAACCTCTTTGATTTTGTTGTTGTTATATTGTCAATATTAGGTAATGTAACGTAATGGTTGCTTCAGTCGTATGACCCGAGCGAAATGAATTAAATGTGCGAGAATACGGCTTGTTAACTTCCCTTCTTCGTTCTTTATTCGAGATACACGAGAATGACGCATATCTCTTCGCCTTTTAGTACACTCTTAGTATAGCGTTCTTGTTATCTCTCACGAACGGAAATCGAATATCGGCATGTCACGCTGTCACGTAACTTCGTCATATTCTTAATGCATGTTATAAGATATTCTCTTCTCGATCAAACTGAAGCGTACAAGCCCAACGTTTCGCTCGTGTCTCAACGACTGGTGGATATCATTACGTTACGTAGCCTTACATTGATGTTCAATTTTACCTGACTCCGCTAGCCCTACTTAACCCACCTGACCCGTAACGACCTTAATCGTGTCCTACCAGATGTTAACTAGTATCCCGAGCCGATCGCCGAGCATAGCGTTACTTCGTGTCGCGTATTATTTTTTAACGGAGCATGTACCGTCAAATACAATTCTTTGGAGTTCGCGAGCGATTGCGATTGATATGTCAGCGTTCGGATTGAACTTAAAGGACGCTCGGAGCTTTATTAATCGCCACGATGTAACGCTTTGCACGAGCCGTTCGGCACGTTGATCAATGTTGCAAGAATCGTTAATCCAAGTGTCGGGTAAGATCGGGTCTGTATATAAAGTAGGATTCCTAGAATCTCTCATTCGTCGTCCGAAATATATTTTTGACGAGGAATACCATAGATCTCTCGACTGTGATAGTGGCTCGATTTTCAAACGATATAGAGCAATCATATATATACATATTCAAGACTATCTTTCCATGTATGGCACTGCATATCTATCGATTAGACCACGATAGAGCTTTCATATCAATTTCGCTGATTTCGCTTTCTATCATTTTGCGAGATTACTAACTGAATCTTCGGAAATTCAGCATCCGAGTCCTTAGGACGCGCATGAATACCTCAATAATATACGATTTTCGTTTCTGTACCATTTACGGCGCACAATACTTTCTTGGAACGACGAAGTGCCAAATGTAAATGTTCCTAACTATTTCGCGTGATTTTATATATATTTATATATATTTTTCACTGGAGAGAGAAACTTACGATTTTTCACGTTACTTTCTGTGCCATAATTTGCAAAAAAGTACGAGCGATTTTATAGAAATCGTTTTCACATAGATATATCTATTTGGAATCTTACATTTTTTTAGATTGCACCTTACACCTTTAGAAACACGGTAATTAGACGATCCTAAAGCATGACTCGATCCCTGATAAATCCCGATTAGCCCGACAATGCACGATAATTGAACGAATTATGCACCGTGACGATATCACCGCACTCTAGTTTGTCCTCGATGTTAAATTCGAGCTCGATGAATCTCGATTTTTAAATGAATTCTCATCTCGGCAGGTCTGGTGCTTAGCGACATTATCGAGAAATATTTCGTGTCGCCGACTTTGCTTCGTGTAGTGAGAGTGGCGAAGGTTGGTCGTGTACTTCGACTCGTGAAAGGTGCCAAGGGTATCCGAACCCTTCTTTTCGCCCTGGCGATGTCGTTGCCGGCCCTTTTCAACATTTGCCTACTGCTGTTTTTGGTGATGTTTATCTTCGCGATATTCGGCATGTCCTTCTTCATGCATGTCAAGGACAAGAGCGGGCTGGACGACGTGTACAACTTCAAGACGTTTGGACAGTCGATGATACTGCTATTCCAGGTAAATTTTATCGTCAAAAATCCTGTCTTTCGTTCCCTTTTCTCACTATACTAGAAGATAGAAACAGAGAGAAAGCTTTCCGTCGCTCAATATCGAGATGTATTCCACAGTATCGTGGAAAAATGCACGTCTGACGCATCGTCGTAATTACGTGTTGCAGATGTCAACGTCGGCCGGTTGGGACAGTGTCCTCGATGGTATAATAAACGAGGAAGATTGCCAGGAGCCGAACAACGAAATCGGCTATCCCGGCAACTGTGGGTCCTCGACGATCGGGATTGCTTATCTACTCTCATATCTCGTGATCAGCTTCTTGATCGTCATAAACATGTATATCGCTGTGATCCTCGAGAATTACTCGCAGGCCACTGAGGACGTGCAGGAAGGTCTCACGGACGACGACTATGACATGTACTATGAAATTTGGCAACAGTTCGATCCGGATGGCACGCAATACATCAGATACGACCAGCTCTCAGACTTCTTAGACGTATTGGAGCCCCCGTTGCAGATACACAAGCCCAATAAATATAAGATCGTGTCGATGGATATTCCCATATGTAAGGGTGACCTTATGTTTTGCGTGGATATCCTCGATGCCCTCACCAAGGACTTTTTCGCACGGAAGGGCAATCCAATCGAAGAGACAGGCGATCTGGGCGAGGTGCAGGCGCGGCCCGACGAGGTCGGCTACGAGCCGGTCTCGTCCACACTGTGGCGGCAGCGCGAAGAATACTGCGCTCGACTCATACAGAACGCTTGGAGGAAGCACAAGCAGCAGCGTCTTGGCGGGCCGAGCGAAGAGAGCGACGACCCAGACACCGATCCGCGCGTCAGGCAGACCGCGGTGTTGGTCGAGAGCGACGGCTACGTCACGAAGAACGGTCATCGCGTCGTCATACACAGCCGATCGCCGAGCGTCACCTCGAGAACCGCGGACGTCTGATCGCCATCGTCGTCGCCGCCGCAACTGCAATCGCCGCTACCGTCGTCGCTATCGCAACTATCGCCGCAGCCACCGCCGCCGTCCGTGCGCAAACCGCTCTACCGCAGCAGCAACAACAGCATCGTCGACGACGACGATGATCATGCACCGTCAGCCGGTCGCACTGCTCGCGCGGAGTAGCGGCCGGGCGGACCTCGCGTGCGCTCTCTATCGACAGCCTTATAGTTGTAAAATACATTTCTCCAACGAGTTGCCTTTAATCGACTTTGAACGCCACGACCGTTGGGAGAGACACGTCGCTAGTTAGACGAGCGTCCGTACACGAGGTACACGAGGAGCGACTGCGCCGAGAAAGTGTCACACACGCGAGTCTGGCGGTACGGCTGCGCGTGGCGTCCGGATCGAGATCCACGTGGAACGAGGGGAAGAGAGATCAAGGGAACGAGGAGGAGCACGAGGGAGTCGATGCGTCGCAACGTCCTCGGCGAGCCAACTTCCCCATATCGAGGCTCGTAGAGCGACGTCGCGACGCGGCTGGAGAGCGGATTCGGGTCGGCCGCGCTCGCCTCTGTTGCTCCTCGTTGAATCGAGCGGTAGTAGCAACAATGGACGACGACGCGCGGACCGCGTCGAGGCGACGCGCGAGCAAATCAGCGCGACCACTTCTACACCATCTTGTGAACACTCGTTAGCTCAATCTATCGCGAATTCTATCCGCCGTTTGGATTTTTTACACCGTTTTACAGCAGTAACCCGCCGCCTAGTTGCTCCCGCGCGACGCCGCGACGCGGCTTTTTCGCTACGAAAGAGAGTGTGTGTGCGTGTCTGTGTGAGAGAGAAAGAGACATTGTATGACTGCGGGCCAGGAACGAACGCTACGACGATGACTACGACGATGATAATGACGTTCGTGTTGATGACGACGTATCGATCGTCGCTTTCGACGAAAGAAGGGCGAGCGGAACAATGTTCGCCGGTAGAAGGGACTCACTTGTGAAATGTACGCATAGTTACTACATTCGCTCGGCTTGCATCTCTCGCGGAACGGTGCGCGAACTCGCTTGATCGCGCCGCTTGTTTCCACCCCCCTCTCCCGCCCCTTCCGGCCCTCTTCTCTCTCGGGCCCATGTAATACGCACCCTCCGCCGGCCCAACCCCGAGGAATACCCGTCGTCGGGGGGACGCACGTGAAAGTACTTATGTATCGTTCTGTCTGAAAGATCTCCGGCGTGAAGAATATGTTTCGACGATTGGCGGCTTTCTCGGCTTCGACCCCCCGTCGAAGAGGTCGACTTCATCGGCTCGCGCGTCGGCGACTCGCCCTTTGCCGCGCCGTTCCCGCGCTTTTTTACAGTCGTATTCGTCGTGTGCAAAACTTTACCGAGTTCTTCCCCCTCCCGAGGAGAATCCATTGTACCGTCGTTTCCTCTCCTACCTCGTCGACTTTTCTCACAGACCCACCTGTTTATCCATTTTCGTCCGCCGCCCCTTCCCACACTTCCCTACTCGCGATCCTCTTTCACGACTAAACGTGTAAAGCGATCGTGTCGGGAGGAAAGTGCGCAACCCTTTAGAAACAAGAGAAAAAGAAACGAACAATGAAGGAAGGAAGGAAGGAAGAGTGAAAAGACGACGTCTCTCTCTAGTGTGCTCGACGATCGGCTAGCGAACGGCTGAAGGGGACGGAGAGGGGGGGGCGCGATTCCGCAGTCATCATCAGCTAGTTATTTACACATTTGCAAAACTAACACGCAGTCTTACACACGAAGTAGTGAACGCGCTTCGGAATAAATGAATTACTACATTCTAGTGTATCGTTATTCGAATAACCAATCGTTCGCCCGCGCCCGCGTAAACCCGTCTCGCGTCGTGTAAAAACCCCGCGAGATGCTGAAGATATCGAGCCGATGCACAACGGAGCTCGCGCGAAATTCGATTCGGCTGGCGGTGTTAATTACGAGGTGGCGCATGCATACCTTGCGTTACATTAGTTAGTCGCGCAGGCCGCTTACCCCTTCGAAAGCCTGAAACACACGGGAAAAATATCGTAGAGGAAAGGAACGATTTTCGCCGTAGACGGAGAAAAAGAGAAGAGCAATTAGATCGCACGATATATATCTCGAATCAAAAGATATATCTTTCTTTGTATCATATTCTTTTTCTGTCTCCGAGGTCTCGGGGGCTAATCGAGAACCCTACGTTGTGCCTTTTGAATAACAGCAATCTCAAAGTCGAGCTAACTTCGGTTTCGCGTATCGCGTACTGTTTGAAAGGAAAGGGATGACAAATCGAAAAGGAACGACAAATCGATCGACCCACGTCGGATCCCGAAAAACGCGTCGCGCCTCATCGTCAAAGCTGCTTTTGTTCTCGAATATGAGAAAGAGAGAGAGTGAGAGAGAGAGAGAAAGAGAGCGAACGAATGAACGTGCTACCTCCTTCGCTCTCTGTTTTTCAGCGCCGATGTATTTTTAACACGCCGCGCGCGCGTTCCGGCGGATCAATAAGCGCAGAATTTAGACGGGTTTACGCACGGACTTCGCGCGGAATCGCGTAACCCGCTGATTCGCGTCGACTTTACCATCTCGCGTCTGTTAAAGTCGAGCGTGTCTCGACGATCGCGCCGACTCGACGTTGCCGTGACGGAAGGAATGCGTCTACCCTCGGTGGCTGTACGTTTTAAATTAAGAACAGCTGTCTCTCTCTCTCTCTCTCACTCTTTCTCTTTTCCTGTTTTTTTTCCGAGAGAGAAAGAGAGAGAGAGAGAGAAAGGCTCGTCGCCAGCTGCTGACGGGAGCCCATGTGGCTCTCCCGTCGTCGTTTCGAGACAGAATCCCGATTCGCACGGCAAGACCCCGTCTCTCTCTCGCGGTCTGCACCTGTGCTCACCCTGTGTTCTTTCCGTCATGCGACGTCACTGCAGTCGTCGTCGCGATTCCGCCACGAAACGACCGATCATTTTCGCCTCCGCGCAACCCACACGCAGATCACCAAACAAATCGAACGTGTACTAAACAATTTATACACGATGATCGGAATTTATTATAACGCGTGACGACGATGACGACATTGCTAACTCAGCTAAAGGCCACGTTTGTAAAATACGTTATACATACATACATACATCTATATATATACATAACAAAAAAAAAATATATATATATATACATATATTAAGGCGGATGTTGTACGTGCAGGATGAGGCAAACAAAGCGCTCGTCTTTCTTCCTCTGACATTTTATTAGTCGCTCGAGCAAAATTGCTATTCTAAGAATAAATACAGAGACGCAGCGCTCTAATGACATATGTCCTGACGGAGCGTCGGTCTCGTCCGTGAATTTGAATCCTACCTGTATGCGGAAGCGTTTCTTCGCGCGAGAGCCAATTAAATGTTTGCTCTCAACAACGCGGAGGCTACCGCTCGTTACGAAATTACATACGCATTGCACGTGAAACACGTCGTCGACACGCTTGCGCGAGATCCAGTATCGGGATTAACTTGCACGTCGATGATAAGAACGACATGCTATGACAAAGCGACTCGTCTCAATCGAGAATAGTTTTAAGGCACAAGAGAAGGTCTCGCAAAAGTTTCAGATGACGCGACTCGTACGTGTGTACAAATGACAGACGTGATTGTCGAAACGAAAATTCGATCCTCGCGGAGAAGCCTCGTCTTGTCGACTTCCGGTTGGAAGCGATTGAAAGTAAACTGAGAAACAAGAAAAAACAATTCGGCGCTGCGATTATAACGTCCGTTCCGTAGAATCTGCATTTTTCTTCGAGCGTAGCTATCCTTTCCCCTGAAATGTCGGTCGGAAGACAGTGTCACGACGCGGTCTCGGTCTCCGGCACGTACACGATCGTAACATTCCGTCGTCGAATTAAGAGCGTTATCGCAGTCACGCGGCGGTGAGCTTAAGTAGGCGGCGAGATTACAAAAAAAAAAGAAACAAAAGAAACGTGTGTGCGCGCGTGTGTGTGTTAATGCGGATTGCGCGATCGTTATTTTTCTACGTCTACATCCGCGATTCGGAGGGTCGGCAGGGCGGAGGAAAGGGACGTGGAGAGAGAAAGAAAGAATGTGAGTGAGTGAGTGAGTGAGAAAGAGAGAGAACGACGCGCACGGGGATCGAGAGGGGCAACGACGGGGGAAGCGGCGAGCTGTTGTTGCCGGCTCTTTCAGAGGCGGCGACAGGAAGTCGAGGCGCGTGGGAGGGTGACGATGACGATGACGACCTCTGAAATTCGGGGCGGGACGAAGAAGAGGGAGAGCGCATTCTCGCTGGTCGAGAACGCGAGCGATGAGTCTGGTTAACTCGGCTCGGTCGCAAGGGCTAAAGAAGAAGAAACGACGAGGACGGATTGGCGACGTACGTGATAACGAGAACAATGACTGTGTTCAGCGGACGCATCGAGGCTAGTTCAAGGCAAAGTTCAGGGCGACTGAACGCCTGATTGGTAACAAACGGATCACACCCGGCGGAATTTATGCGAAGTGACGGCAAAAAGTAACGCGAATCAACATTGGATAGGTAGAGAGAGAGAGAGAGGGGGAGAAGAGAGAAAACACGCGCATTCTCGACTTGGATTCTTGAATCGGAAAGACGCGCGACGCCCGTCTCTGAAATGTTCCTCTTTCGCCGAGTGACGCGCGCGTATAAATGTTCCGCTTCACGGGATTCACGTTGCTTTCGCTCTCTGTGCATCGTCTCGGATGCGGGTGCGAGAAAGTATTTTTTATATCGCACACCCTCGTAAAACATAGCTTCTTCGGCGGCTGTGTGTATATATATATTCGCATACACGCGGCTGCACGCAGCAGCTCGTTCGTTTACTCGATCGTTCGGGAAGGTCATCGTTCTCCGTTCGCGTTTCTCGTAGTATAGCGTCGATCTCGCTCGGCACCCTCTCGCTCGACGACGTTGTCCCTCGGAACCGCGGGCTCGGGTCCCGGAAGCACGACTGACGATGACGACGATGACGAAGACGCGCGCGGAAGGAGTCAAAGACGACCTGGGATATAACCGTCGATCGTTCTTATATATTGAAATACATACCACGTATTATCCGATGGTCCGTCCGGCTCACTGTCCCGTACCTCCGAGACCCCCTCCCCACCTCCCCCCATACCCATGAGTTTGACCTCCTCTCCCCGTGTTGTAACGCGTGCAGATATAATTCGGTAATAATCAAATCACCCTCCTGTACGCGCGATCAATAATATATTTTCGATACTACTCACGCTCGCCGGGCGATTAACCGAGCGGGCCGACCGCGTAATCGTCGCGGGAGCGACGAAGAGCGACGAGAGGCTGGCGGAAATCGCATCGGCGTCATTTCGCAATTTGTATCCGACGCGCTCGATATTGAAACAATCATGTGTACAAGGTGATACTTAAGAGAGGCGCAAGGCGCGAATCGCTTGCGAGCCGGCCGCTTCTTAATTGACCGGGGCACTTGTGCAATGTTCCGATGTGAATCTGTACGCCGACGGGCCTTAAACGAGACGGACGAGAGCGGGTCGGTCGGCCTCCGGAAACGCCTCCTTGACGACTCGCACCGCGGAGTGCATCGTTCTTCCCCGCACGGAGTGACGCGCCGCTAAAGGCGAGCCTCGGCCGGTCCGCTCCCTACGCGAGATCATCCCGAGAGAGTGAGTCATCCGAGGATGGAGAGAAAAAAATGAATCACGCGAGCGACGATCATCGGCGGCGGGACGGGCGGGGCGATTCTCTATTTTTGCGCGCTTCGCTTGACCATCTGCGACGAATCCATCATGGGCACGCGTAAAGGAGTGATTCACGTCGCGCGACCCGCTGGAAAGTCTCGTTCTCGCGACGCGGATACTAAATTCGCAGATAATGATTACCTTAGCTTGCGATTAAGCTGTAGCGTAGAACGGTGCGATCGCGTGAGATTAACGAGGGGAGGTTCCGTCTCACTTTGAACTCGCGGATTCCGTCGAAATCGCGTCTGAGAGTGGGGGAGACCGGGGCAAGTTGGGGCTAAGGGAGTGGGTTGGCTAATCGATTATTCCTGCTATTTTCTAATAGATTGCAGAATCGGGCGAGCTGAGATTTCAGACGTATCGAAGATGGTTATGAAATTCCCCGATTTTGTAACCTGTTAGAAAACAATAGAAATAATCAATTAACGAATTTACACCCCGGTCTCGCTATTCGCTTCGGTGGACTCACTCGAGATGATCTTGGAGCGTGAGTGTCCGTTTCGAAGCGAAGTCCCGACGACGCGTCGATTCGTCGCCGGATGAAATGTTGACGGCACCCGCGCGTTCACCCACAACTTCCCCCCAACAGCTCGATCGCGAACACATCGGCGCCGACCAACATTTCGTCCGTCCTGAAGCGTTACGCGTCGTCCCGCAGAATTGCCCGGGGAGCATTTGGTGAAATCGCGGGAGGGAAGTGTTTTCATACGAGACGGAGGAAATCGCGTTCGTACGGTCGACACGTTGCAACGACGAGAGTGGTTACGAGGACGACGACGACGACGACAACGATGATGACAGCGACAATGACGAGGACGACATCGCGAAGGGGGAGGGGGATGCGAAGAGTGTGCGTGGTGTGCTTCGTTGATTTTCGTTAGTTTTTTCCAAAATGTACATTAAAATTACCAGCTTTTTGCGCGACGACGGCTGTAAGATATATAACAAGAAAAAAAATAATAGGGCTTTCCTTCGTTAAGCGAGGTAAGACGAGATTTAACGTACTTTTTCTGAGGACGATACTGCCGTTATGCATTATATAAAAAAAAACTAAGTTAACTAATCGTAAATGCACAGAAATTTTCTTAAACGGATAGCAACCAAAAAAAAGCTTTGTAGTGTCTCGATACTCTCGAATCATTAATCCTACGTCGTCAGATAATAAATAATGATATTAACGAAATAAAAAAAAAAATGAAGATACTTATGAAACAAAAATCCTAGAGTTGGGCTAAAGCATTGTAAAGTGTCAAGCTACCGGAGCCTGTCGGCCAGTATAAAATGAACAAGCAACTGCCATGGGTCAAGCTAGGTAGAAAACGTGCTAATCCAATTTTAACGAGTTAGCTGTCGAAACATTAAAAAAAAATAAAACGCGCGAAGGATCGTCCATTTAAACAAAAAAATTCTGCGTACATGTGTGCGTGTGTGTGTGTGCGAGCTCGCGCGCGCTCGCGCGTGTTCGTGCGGACACGCGGATCGGGTGCTTGTGACACGTGCGTGTCCACACACACACGCGTGTGTGTGGGCTGTGTGTGTGGTGGATTCGCTCGCGCGCAGGCCGAGAGGAAACACAAGAAAACACAGAGAGAAGCTCCTCCGTTGAATGACATTCATTACTACTTAACAGAATAAAATAACAAAAGAGAAAATTATAAGTTATTTGCACAATATATTATAAATAATTACTATATATGTTTACTACGATTATTAAATTAAAGAGCAGCTAATAAGAGAATAAAAAAAAAAACTGTTGTTAAATAATTAATACCAAAAAAAAACGAGGGGGATGAGCGAAAAAGGAAAAAAAGTAATAACACGATTTACGCTAATGATCGATATTCGGATCAAAACGAAAAGCGACGAAGACGAAAATGATGGGGAGAAAATACGATGAAGATGAAGATGAAGAAGAAGATAATGAAGAAGAATAAGAAGAGCAGAATAAAAGGAGGAGGATACGATTCGTTTGTTATCGATTAGTTAACGATCCTTACATTACATTATTGTAATTATATAAAGTAAACGATTATTATCATAATAGTTACAATTAACAAGTTGTTACCGCTTTGTTATACATAATATAATTAATAATAAGATTAAAAAGTAAGCGAATGCATCGTTGATTCGTCCTTTACTTATGTAGATACTAAATACGATCGACTATATTGTTTTCAATGTCTTCACCGTATTTCTTCGTTTGCTACCCGAATTTCATTTCGTTGTCGAAGATTCGGTATTGTCGGCTTACCTCGCCCGGCCACAATATACACACGTTTTACAGAGATATTTTCAATAAACGAAAAAGCTTAACACTCACGCAGTTCTACTTGTTCACTTGATCATCCCTCGAGACTTCTCATCGCTCGCTCACCTCGGCTAAGCGCGCGAGGCAACGTTGATGAGCAACGTCGATTTAGATTAGTCGATTACGTATTATCACTATTAAATGGCCTGTGATTCGTCTAGTATCCGTCAAGTCCGTCGAGGGAATAATTTCAGTCTTGGAAAGTGTCTCGGCCAGTGGCGCCAGTCGGGCCCGACGCGTTCCTGGCTTATCGAGGAGCCGAGTGGAAGGGATGAGATACGGTAACGCTAAGTATATCTACCTGCCCACGAGGTACCATTACAGCAGTCCACTGTGCGCCACAGCACGTGGTAGCGCGTGGGTGCCTCGCGCGGGGAACGACGAAAAGAAGAAAGAAGGAACGAGAGAGGCATGGGTGGGGTTCTCGAGGACGAATCGTTTCGCTTTCCTCGCAGGAACGTCTTGTGCGAGTCGTCCCGTAGTGTAACGAACGTGTCTCTCGCGAGCGGTCGGCAACGCGCGACGTCTTCGAGCGGTAATGGCCGTTCGCGCGTCGAATATCTAGTTCGTGCGGCCCTGTAAGAGAGAGATGGACGTTTCGAGGTCACTCGGGCCTCCTCGCGGGCTCTGAGAGAGCTGCCGAATCAGTGAAACTGGAGCAGCGAGAGGCGTCGCGCCGCGCGGATACAGGCGGACGTACGACGTTGTTCCACGAAGCTGTCAAGATCTGACGTCGGCGGGAGTACACAAGGTGGTGGCCGCGTCTTATCATGCTTATCGACTGGCTGCGCGACAACGACGAAAACGACGAACACTGACCTCGCTGTATCGTGCCGCGCTCTCGCAGCAGCTGCAGGCCTCGTCGAAGCTCAATGATCGTGAGTCTGGTGTTCCGTGACTCATTATTCGCAGCTTGGCAGCGATTCGCCGTGGAGGAAGGAATCGTCTCGCGCGGATTTCGACATCGTTGCCGCGGAGGAGGTTAGTGCACAGCGAAATAGTCGTGTATTTATAAATCGAGACAAGTGCCGAGGTGCGACTTCTATTGAAAGATTCCGACGTTTTTTTTCCCCGAGAGCGACGAGCGAGTGATTCTTCGAATACGTGTGCGCGTGTGTGTATATGTGTGTGTGTGCGCGCGCGTAAGGTGCGTACTTGTCGCGCATTCACGGGCGGTTCTTTCGTCTCTCGAAAATCCCGCGGGTAATTTAGGACTCGAAGAATCATTTGACGGAATAAGTCGGTGAGATTGAAACTAGTCTGTGCGCTAAATTTAACTAATTATACGCTAGTGTGCGGAGAATACTGAACGCGCGGTCGTTAATTTTGCAAATACATTCAGTGAATACGTTCGTTATACACCGTGAGAACTTATGAAACATTCAACAACTGTACACATTATCTTCGCAATTCTTCACGTCAAATGGTATGCGTCGCTTCGTTATCTTATTTATTTTCTTGGTCAGTATTACGTGTTCGATGAAACAATGTTATTGTTGAAAGCACACTTATCCCAGGTAACGTAAAACACCCTGAAGTGATTCTACATACGTTCAAGACGCCTTAGAACATTCCCCAAGATATCCTACACAATTTTTATTAAATTTAATAACACTTTATTTCATATTTCCCAAACGGTCGATTCAAACTTTTGCGTTAATTTTATACAAGGGTGAATATGTTGGAAATTAACACAAATATTATATAAAAAATAATTAATAGAAAATTAATACATTAATCGATATTATAGTAAAAAATGTGTTATTTTAACTCTTACATATGTTGAATATCGGCACAACGCAAAATGTCGAGATAACATAAACATAGCGTGTTAAATTAATATACGGATATGATACGGATAAAAATTTAACACGAAAATTTTAACAAGGATCAATTTTAACACAAGTACAAAATATTTTTTACTGTGTAGGCATTCTTGGGGTGACTCTGGAATGTCTCATGTTGTCTGGAACATGACGTTTACCTGAACATTTTACTTGAACATTATCTCACATATCACTTTGTCGCAAGTGAATGGAATAGACAACAAACCACTTTCTAGAGAAACTGAAGTATTTTTTCCTTCATTCTTTTCAGATATTTTAGCATCAAAACGTACAAGTGATACTCATGATGGAGAAAAAAGGCTTACGGAAGAAGGACATGTTGAGGATGGACGGACTGTTGCCGCCAACGCGGCGTTTACCTGTTTGCAACGCGGTGTCCGGCGCGCCGGACAAAAAGAAGGACAAGAAATGGTCTATAGGCGGCATCCTACGGCGAATATCTTCGATAAGGGACTACGACAGTTCCTCTAACGACGAGGAGATTGTCTACTGCAAGAGAACACCTAGGAAGCCTGCAAAGCTGAACAGGCAAGCCGACGGTGTCGTCCTCCATTCAATAGAGAACAACACGGAGCACGATAACAAGCGACTGCTGAGGGTCGAGAATAACCCTCCTTATCACTCGGCGGGATCGCCGTCGCAGTTGCGTCGTGACTCGCTACAATCTCGTAGCAGCGACGGCTCCTTGGACGGTCTGAACAAGAAGACTCGGAAGAACAAATTGAAAGCGCGAGCCGAAGCGAAGAGGGACCACCTGCGCGCCGACAGCAGTTCCGACGAGGACTGTCGGCGGTCCAACGGATCGCTCAACCGATTCCACGGCGCAGACGGTCAGCGCAACAATATGTGCAATAAGAAGACGCGAGCCGCCCGTACGGAGCGATACATCAAGCGTTTGTCGAAGGACGACGGGAACGGCAGCGGCGACGCTTCGAACGAGCCGCAGCACAAGTATTCCTCGGAATACACGGCGGAGGACGAGCAACAACAACGCGTCGTTTACGGTGATGCCAACGGATTCTGCCGACCGCCCGTGCATCCTCGTCGGGCGATCGCCGTGATGACCGTTGAGAAACCCTCGAGCAATCGCGCGTTGCCTCCTCAGAAGTCCTCAGTGGAGAGCCTGCGGATCGATGTGGATTGCGCGGCTCCACCCGACCCCGAGATCGACTTCAGGAGGTACTCCGTAGGACGATACGTCACAGACATGAATCAGAATAACACTTACGGGAAGGTCTCGCGAAATGTCGGCGTGTACATGGACAACCGTCAGGACGGCAACTTCTTCACGTATCCCGCGAAGAACGTCGGTTGTTATCCGTTCGATCACGCTGTCGAGCGTCGGTTGGTCAGCCAAGACAATCAGCCACCTGAGCCACCGCCGAGGGATCCTCGTTACCGTGTATTCGGTTACGGGTACAACTCTTATCCGGCGAACAGACACCAGAGCGCGTCGAGTTGCTACGAGCGAGGAGACATGAGAGCGGCGAACGTCGCGAACGAATTGTCGGGGCCGGATCGGCGGAACTTTCGAACGTACGGCTCGAACAATGAGATCGCCCTACGATACGACACGATCGAGCTGGAGAAACCGAAGCCCAGGCTGGGACTTTGCAATTCGCTCGAGTACATGAACAACAAGTATAATTCCAGTCGGCACGGCGCGGCGAACGAGTCGCTCAGCAGGGAGACGATGGAATGCCGGCGCAGGAACATTCGCAACGACGCGAATTCTGCGAGCGCGTGCACCGCTAAAAATAAATCAGCGAACATCTGCGAGTCGAGTAAACGCGAGACTGCTCCGTCGCACGTATCCGCCGCGTCGACCGACCGGCTGTCCAGGAGGTCTCCTTGCGAACGTGTTACTTCGCGTTCCATCACTCCCACACGCGACAAGAACAACGTCGTCGAGAAGAGCAACAGGCTGATGACACCGGCCGAGGAAGCTATGGAGAGACGCAGGAGCTCGAAGAATCTCGAGGAAGCCTTGTCCGAGCTGGAAGCGATCTACAACAGTCTCCGTCTCGGCGACGAGGATCTCCTGGACCGCGCTGAACGTCGAAGCATGGAGGAATTTAGTCTGAAGCAAGCTAGAAGCGAGCTGGACGCGGCGACCGCGATCACCCCGGACTCGCCGGATCGGACGAAGGACGACATGGCCTATCGACGAATGCATCCCAAGGAGAGGCCCGCATCATTGTCGGATATCGCCGGGCGGTCCACCCTGCCCAACATCAGCTACCTTGTCGCCTCGCCCGTGCTCTCGCGCAGAGATCCGGAGGATGACTTGAAGCGCGCGTCGACGAGCGTCGGCTACCCGGCGGTCCGTCGCGACGAACCGGACGTGACCCGCGACGATATGGTCTTCCGCAGCATAAGTCGCGCGAACAACACCCTCAAGGTGATCGATCCGCAGCCGCCGTTCGGGATCCCGCTCGGCCCGGTGACCGCCGCGACGGAGAGCGATTACCTGCACACGACGCCGACGAAGCCGGAACAGCCGCGCTCGCCGTACATACCGCAATGCCAGCCCGACGTGGTCACCGATGACTTGGCTTACAGGGCTCTGAGGAAGGACACGGCACGGAACGGCGGCGTGTCGGCGGAGAGCAGCAAGATCGACGCGCCGAGCGTGAGGAAAAAGCGCGCCGTCAGGTCGCTGTCGGCCAATCTGTACGGACTGATGAATCACGAGGAGATTCACTTGCGACGTGAGCCCAACCTCGACGCTATCAAAGACGAGATCCGGGATGTTGCGAGGGGTTCGGCCGCAACGTCCGAGCGACCGGGGTATCTGAGACGCGTGGTGAGCGACGGCGAGCTGTCTGATAACGATACTCGCTGGCGAAAAGAACCGGCGAGAGGGGGCGACATCGATATCAACGGCAATCACCCGACGGTGGACGCGTACCGGAAGAAGCTATCGCCGGAAAGGACGATACGAAAAAGTCCTAAGAAGGAGTCGAGTATCGCGGAGATATCCGACGTCATGCTGTCTTCGAAGGCCGCCCTGGATGACGAGTTTTGGCACGAGTACCTGCGCCCGGATTCCAACACCTCCAACGCCAATAGCAATCACAGCACGGAAGCGGACTTCACCGCCTACAGCCGCCTCTGCCAAGATCTGGTTAACTTGATAAAAGGCGACGATGAGTCGCCGAACGCGGACCAAGCCATTGCCGGCGTTACGCCGGCCGATAATAAATCGAACGACGTCCAGCACGAGGTGGACGAACTCTCGATGGGTGATCGCGCGTGCTCTTCAGGCAATCATTGCTCAGGCTCTCGGCGTGTCGCGCGTATCAACGGCAAGCACGATGCAGCCGGGAACCCGGAGAGTCCAGCCGCATTCTCCACGGAGGCCGAGTCGACGTCAACCGACAGCAACCTTGACTTCTACCTGCGCGTGGCGGACGAGAACGTGAAGCTGATCGCGGCGGCTTTCGGCAGCGTGGCCGACCACCTGCGCGACAGTCGGCTCTCCGCTCGCAGGAGTTCCTCGACGTCGCGCGATATTTCCGAGATCGAGAACCAGAGCGGCAGCACCCGCAGCTCCACCCTGTACAGCCCGGACGACGACCAGCTTCACCGACTTGCCACCGTCGTTTCGCCGAAACCCGAGGGGGTCACCAGCAACGAAGGGGACCAAGGCGTAAACTCCGACTACTTCGAACGGGAGGTTTTCACTGCCAACGCGGAGCTGGACTTATCCAGAGCCGTCCGCGACCTGCAGCTGGCCGCGGCCAGTTTGTGCGAACACGGACGAGAAATCGAGGATCTAGGTAGAGCACGCGACAGGAAGACCGACACTGGTGTTCACGACGTAACACGGACCAGCACGAGCGGGCGCGAGGAAATTCCTATTAACAAAATAAACCTCGTCGCCGACGTTCTGAGGAAAGAGCAAGAACGTCATCAAGAGGAGGAGGAAGAAGAGGAGACGTGTTTTCACGACGCGACACCGGTGACTACCATCAGCGAGGACGAGAGAAAGAGTCTTATTCGTAAGGTTAGCCTCATTGCCGACGACCTGAGGCAGGAGCGGGAACGCGATCAGGAAGAGGTGATGGTGATACCGAGCGGAATCGCGGAAACGCGACGCGAGGCGCGCGAGGAGAGCTGCGAAGGTGAGCGCATAGTGTGCGAGCTTGATCGTAAATTGTCCCGCTGTACCGAGGACGCGCGATCTTGTGTCACTAACATCATAACCCGTGCCACGGTAACGACGTACTCCATGCTCCTGCTCGCTTGTCTCCTTGCATTGCTTTTAGCGATCGTAGCCGCATCCTGATACGGCCGGTACGGTCTCTTAGCGCACGGACAGGCAGGGATTGCAATGTTTGTATTGTTGTGTGTCGTGCATTGCGAGCATCGGTGATAGAGGGAGAGAGAGAGAGCACATCGTCTCCCGTTCATCGTCATTGTCATGAATCCGATTCCGCCCTATGTGTTCTGTGTTCATGTGCAAATGTTACTAATGTCGCAGGTCTCCAGACGCTCGCTCGCTCAGATTGACGATCGCACTGCTCGTTCGAACTGCTGACAATCGGCGAGAGTGACAGTGCGAGAGACGAGGCGAAAGCAAGTTGATAGTTTGTAATAAGAAAGGGAAATAGCGAGAAAAAAAGGGAGAGTATACGATGTCCGCTGTAAGGCGTATTTGTTGTTGTTGCTCTTGTTACTGTTGTTGGTTTTAATAAAGTTTAAATGTTAATCGTGCCAGTACGAATATCTCACTGCGCGCACACACACGCGTGCCTCTCGCCGCTAAGCGAACCATTCCAAATCAAGCTATCCGATCCTGCGCATACACAGTCGGTTGTCGATCGTATCTTCTATTCGTTATTTGATACATGATTAGGAATGGGATCAGGTACATATTGTATCATTGTGTCAATATAGCCTGCGATATGTTTGAGTTCACTATATGACTCGGAAACATAACAGGGGCAAAGCTTTGTGAAATATATTCCAGACTTGCGCGAATATTTTGCAACATAATAATTATGATTGTTTATGTTTGCAAGTAAAATTGTATAAAATATCGCCGATTCGAATATACTTCAGAAAGTATCACAATTTTATATTTAATATGTTGCATCGGGAGGATGTCATCTGGTATACACTCGATTCTATATTTAATTTTAGTAGTCCTTTATAAGTATGCAAAGTGAATTCATGATGTTTAAATTTGAGAAGGTGCCATTTATCAATGAAGTGATATTTAATTTTTAAATCGGCTGAAATTCATATTGAGCTTGATCCCATCTCTATACATGACACCTCCAGTATCGGATAGAGAAATTGCGTGTGAGAAAATTGTAATTCTAAAATAAAGTTGCCTTATTACTTTCTCTTTCGATAAAAAAAAAAAAACACTTTGGATTTCTCCTGACTCTCTACCTATCAGCAGTAGTATTCATCATTATTGTGTACAAGTATTTAATTTGATTTAAGTTATTCATTTACCTCTTTCTGAGACAATAAAACATATTTTTTGTAAAATTTCAACATATATCAAGTATCTTTCATATTACTATTCATCAGAAATGCATGTCAATTGCAGTACGTGCAAACATACTTTTGATTTACTCAATCAGCATAAATGAATAACGACAGAATTTTCGATTAACATTTAATCTTCCCTGTAAAATGCAACAGTACTATTTTATTTCGATTCCACCTATTTTTATTTCGATTCTTATTTCGACACCAAATAATGCGTTCTCTTTCTCTCTCCTTCTTATATTCTAAAACAATCAATCGTGATACAGTTTTACATTTCAATCAGCGAATGAAACGTAAAACTCAACAAGCAAGTCGCAGATGTATTATATGCTACGGATTCTGTTCCATCAAAGAAATTGAGACTTACCCATTGTTCCTTCGGCGGATCGAACGATATTTCCCTCTCTACCTCTTATGATCCGTCCCGTGACAGGATATCCACTTAACGATGCCTCATCTCGCGATAAATTTATTTCCGGCACTCCCGATGATATTTCGCGCGCGACACTCGATCACTTTCACCACTTTCGACGTTTTTCTACGCGAGATACTAACTTTCAGCCTTTTCAACGACATATTGCACACGGCACTCACTTTCGGCACCTCCAACGACTGTGATTGGTCAGTTGCCTTACTGTTTAAATTTTAACGTTCTTCTAACTTTTAAGAGGATCTTAGATCGCATATTTTGGTAGTATCGGTACTCGTTCCTGTCTACACAGTGTTAAAAATCCTTTTGCACAATTACAATACACATGTTAATGTAACGTCGGACGGTTATGCAAGATACGAAAAAAGTTTACAAATTATACTTTGAACAACCGTCGTCTCCGGAAATACGTTAATGCTCGCATCATTCTTTCCTTATTGCTCACTGGATGTCGAACAAAGATAGACTATACATGGTAGCGAGAACAGCAGCGCAGCAGCGGGACACTCGAGAACTAGATACTATCTTTCAAACTACTGCGTCGATATTCAAACACGATATCGACGCTTCATTTTTATTAATACTAATTTTTTATACTAAACGAGCGTAACGATAATGATACGTCGTTAAAAATTAGAGAATCGGCCTACTGAGGGCATACATTCGGCGTCACGTGATCTACCGCGACAGTCTCATATCGTTTCACGACGTTCGAACACGAGCCTCGTCACTCCGTGTTCGTCGTATCCTTCCGCCGGTAGAAAACGAGATCCGCGAGGAGTGTGCGCCGTGACGAACAACAGACGATCGGCGCGTTAGACTGAATCTACAATGCAGTAAGTCTTTTCCTTTAAGCAGCGAAATGTAACATAATTTATGACAAAAGGCGTTTCCCGTCCTGCCAAAAGTCATAATAACGCTTAAATCTTAGGAACCGTGGGATACCTCGTCAATTAACGCTGCCTCTAGTAACATCTCTCGTCGGTAAGAAACCCGCACGACCGACGCGGTGCGCCGATAAAGTAGCGCTTCAACTTCGACAACGGGTGCACGACTCATCCGTGAGAGTGCGGGACGTTACGCTACTGCGGAGATTTGTTCACGCTTGCGGGATTAGCGGTCACTCCTTTTTCCGAACGGTTTTCACTCTTAACGGAGGGAGATAATGCGGATGTCGCAATGTCACGCGACGGGATTGATGCGTGCGTGCGTTGATCCGACGGCGGTTTGCATCGATCGCCGGAGCGCGCGGCGTCGGAGCGAAGTTCAACGCGAAGTTCGCGCGTTACCTATCGATCGCGGACGGTCGTGACGTCATCGAGGATCACGCCACATCCCCGCCCTTTGCACCTCGGCGTCTCATTGGTTCGCGTGCGGGCTGGCCGTCTATATCGAGACGTGCGAACGCGTCGCGGCTCCGCGCGCACCGGCTGTTCCGTCGAGCTTCCGCGCTCGTGGAGTACACCGGTGTTGAACATGCGATGCGACGAATAAACGTTTGAAACGCACTTTCAAGCTGAGACGCTTTGACAGTGAGAGAATACGCCGTATATTACGTTAAATAAGCAAGGTATGTAGCTTCCCGTAGTCGCTGGCGGATTGACTTAGTTTCGTGCGCGTCGCGCGCGTAGAACAGGCTGCATTTCACGCGTGGATTTTGTCTGATAACGTTTGCGCTAGTGCGAGAACGGGAGAGAGAGAGAGAGCGACGTGTTTCTGCTGTGTTTCATTTGTGTACTAACAATATACGATACGTCGTACGATAAAAGTGCGGCGAGACGCGCGTGCGACGTTTTAAATGCTTTCACGCCTACGAGAGTAGGCAGAGTGTGACAGGCCAGTACGGATCTTTTTTTATACGTCGAGTGTCTCTTTTAGCGCGCGACACGCGTATTTTTACGCGACACGTAGCGCACACGTTATCCTGGATCATCCCGTAGACGGTAGTTAGCGGTAGAGCAGCGAGTTGTCGAGACCCGTGCCTCGTATTATTTGCGCATAAGCAAGCAATAGACATAGTAGTACATTTTCCTGCGTCAACAAATGACGCAAATAAACATACCGCGGCCGCTTAAATATAGTTTTCCGACCGATTTTTAGCAATGCGCCCGCGTACGTACACGCAATATTTTTGGAGCATGCCTGGGCACACCGCCGTTTAACACCGCGCAACTTTGTGCGCGGCCGACGTAACCGTATTGCGAGGACCGCAAAGTGGTCCCGAGTGATCTAAGCGGTGAAAGAAAATTGAGTCGCCTGTATATTTACCGCTAACTGACATTAACGCGTCAGCGTTGAGAGACGGCAGAAACTTACTCCGCTCTTTATGAATCAGCTATTCCCGTCCGATCGCGAAACGTCACGTCACGTCGTTCTATGAATATCCAATTCCAAAACTGCGGAGAATTAAAACCAGCTCGCTCGATACTCTCCGCGAATAGAATTTCAAGGAGTCCCTCCTATGTATCATTTTATGTTGGATACACGCGCGATATATTTTGCAAAGGGCCAACGTGGATGTTGTCATTTGAAATTTAACGAAGAGTGACTTGGTGTTTTTCATGCTGATTTAATATTTCTCCATGATTTATTCGACGCGTGTAGAATTGCAGGATGTTTTAAAAGAATAACTCATAAATATTCGAGCAATGAAACTGCAGATTGTACTCGTCTGAAGTTCACCGAATGAATTTCAGAAGAAAGGCGCGTGTACGTATTCTTCGAAACGTTGGGTCGCCGTTTAACAGGTGCGGAAGGGCGCAAGGTGACAGGTGCGGAAAGGTGGAAGATTCGCACGGTGGGGCACGAATTAACCGCAACTCTTTCAATCACCGTCCGCCGCAAAAGACATGCGCGTGAATCGCCGCAGACCCGGCCGCGAATTGTTCTCCCCTTGAGCTACATTTCAAACCTATACAGAGCACACTTATACCCGAGGAATGTCCTTATGACCGATTAGAACGTCCCTTGGAGGTCTGTGCCGCACGGGAAACGTTCTTTTCGAGGAAAATTGTACACGAGGTGACTGCCCCAAAGTTTGACGAGCGAGTGTCACTCGGACTCTTTTCCATTGGCCGGAGCCCCTCCATCAGCGGCGGATAAAATTTTCTCCGGAAAGGACGAGTTGGAATGCAGCCCTAGAAAGGAGCGCGGGCTCGCGAAATTTTCTACGTTTAGAAAGGAGGGCGTTGTTAGATATAGTTGGGAAACTCGGAGCGAGCTTGACGCCGCGCGTCGATAGACGGCTCTCGTGGCAGCGAATCGATCCCTCGCGCCAGTTCAGGCGGCAAGATGGCCTCGGTGCTGCAGTCGACGCTCCGTGTCCCGCGCTAGCGTTAATTTGCATCAGCCGCAGCGAGTCGCGTCGCGCCGCGTGGGATTGCGCGATCCGAGTGTTCGTGGCGCGAGTGTCCGCCCGGTCGAGAAGAGCGTTCGTCAGAAACGATGACACCGTGGAGCCGCTCGGACGAGTGCTGATGGTATAAATCGTTTGCGCGTGCAGGAAGCCGAGGATCCCCTCTGTCTCGTGTGAAATACGTGCTGTGGCAACTCGGCGAGAGGAGTCGAAAGCTGCGCGTAAGGTCACCGATAGGACACCGTCGGCCGCGTCCAGGCACTCAGGTAAGCGATGCGTCTCTCCCCGTGTCGCCTTCGCACGCAAGATCCCGGGTTTAGATAGCACAGGTCGCATTGAGTCACGGACAATCTCGCGCCACGTACTCAGCCGGCGTTTCTTCTCACCCATTGTCACGTTCGTCCGTACCGGTGTCTGCGCCACGCAAGCGGACTTAACCTAAATCTTTGAATCGCGCCGAGCGAGGACACTCGGGGCGCCGACCCGCTCGCGGCCCTGATGTTACTTACTATTATTAGCGTAATACTATTATTACACCGCTGGATCGCCAGTTGTCCGACTCGTGTTTTTCGGTATAAATAATACGATCGGTCGCCAGCCGTCTTGGCACGACGGCAATGCGTCGCACATTCCACAAATATGACAAGCTTGTTTTGAAAGGGGAGAAACATGGGGTTTGTGTGTTTCTCCGATAAGCGTGCAAGCGATACCTGAATGAGAGTCCTTTCTCATCTCCTCGTGTGTGTGTGTGTGTGTGTGTGTTATTCTGACGCGTACTCTCAATGTCAATGGTAAATAAAGGAGCCGCGCGACAATGAGAGCTGTTACGCGAACGAGTCGTGTACACGTGTTACTTGAGCACAACAGACACGGTCTGTAGGAAATATACGTAACAAAAAAAGGTAACTTCGCTCGCTCTCTCGAGTAGTAATCTGGCATCGGACAACGTCATTCTCTCCTGTCGCGCGTGAAACGGAGACAGGCTTCTAGAGATCGCGGTCGCGCGATTAAGTAGCACGATGAAGCATCGTCGAGAGGTTCCAATCGTGACCGTGCCCGTTCTCCTGAACGCGGATCCGCGCCGAACAGCTGTGCCTCGCGTGCGCACGCTTCCTCCTCACCTCTGATCGCGCCGCGTCGCTTTATCGACGGAAAGACGAGACCGCAGAGTCCGCGCGTTGGATCCGAGATCAAAGAGCAAAGGTCACCGGAAAGTAGCGGCTCACATAATCCCCGGCGTCGCCGTGATACGGATTCAGTCGATCGCCGACCGTCTCCGAACGTTCGCATCTTCGCGGATTCCTCGTTCGCGCGCGTCCTACCACCGAGAGAGAGAGAAAACAAGATTATTCGCCTTCCTCCGTAGGCTCTCCTTCCGTTTCCTTTCGCAATTCACTACGGTGCTGTCGCTGTGCGTACGCACACCGTAGCCGCGCGTGAGATCCGCGGAGAACGCATCGTGCAGGCGGTGCACGACGACGGTACGTACACACGCGCATACGACACCCACACCATTCTTGACCCTTGGATCGCGCATATAGTGATAATTTCCTCTACGGTCCGCGCGGTGGGAAAAGCGAGAGCGGCAGTCGACTGGAATCGTTGGCGATCTCGCCGAGCAGGAAGACGAACCCCGCACGTTTCACGCCGTGTGAAGCAAGGTAAGCGAGGATCTTGCTGTGCCGTTGCTCACGCAACCTATTCGCTTTGCCGCGCTTCGCCACCTGTGCGCGCGTCGGGTCTCGCGTGTACTTCAACGAGAATACGGGGTAACGACACATATCAGAGCCGCCGGATCGCGGGGTTTCTCTGGATCGTGATTGGAAGCTTACGTTACGTTACACTGAAAAACTCGTTCAGACAAAATTTGCTTCGGATATGGGCGAACAAATGTTTCGGTCGTGAGAACCGAGAAATTTCATTCTCTGGTGCGAAAATGAGGAAGGTGCTGCTCCCAGAGAGCCAAATTTTCGTTCTCACCATCAAAATATCTGTTCGCCTACTTCCAAATCAAGTTTTATTTGAGTCAACCAAGTGGGTTTTTCAGTATGTGTGAATATAAAGCCCGCGGCAGACGATGCTTGTTTTGTGCTGAATCGCTTGCCCGCGTGTTAGAAATACTGCGTTCTGATTGACGTATTTCTAGAAATCACGATCCAGAAGTTTCACGATCTGACTGTTCTTATGTTATTCGTTAAGTGATGAAACGTCGGACGTTTCACTTATTCTCGCTCATTTCTTGCTTTGAAATTCGCAAGCCGTGAAATGGCGCAAAGATCAGCAAATCAGAAAAGAGGCGCTCGGAAACGTGAGCCGTTTTCCGAAATTTTCTCCATTCTTGAATTAATATGTTTGTACTGACTGTGTGACTGATTAATTAATTGATTAATTGGTCGGAGATCTCGTCAGTGTCCGGGGTAGGAGAAGCGCACCGTAACGTTTCCTCATACCGCATTAACGTCGGCGCACTTTCGTAATGTGGCAAACCGTTTTACGGCGCGCGTCCTCGGTTTTTCCGCTCTGCATGGCGTGTCAACGCGCGCCACACATTTCGCGACGATTCTGAGTCAACTCCCGGATCGAACTTCCTGGCGGCCGCAACCCACGAGGAATTATGCGTCGCTCGGTGTCAGTGCACGCTCGAAACGATCGAGTTTCACAAGAGAGCGAGACGGGGCGAGGCAAGGCGCGCGACCGGGAATTCTGAGTTATTCTTCGTCGACTCGTCGCCGAATAATCGATCACCTTCGGATCATAGAGAATTCAGGGTCACATCGAACGAGACTAAGCGATAACATTCGGCTTGATCTGTTATCACTGAGCAGAGTGGATTATACAAACAGAAGTCAGACGGCAATAAGCCAGTGTTCGTATTTGTCAGAGCGCTCTATTGAGATACACGTTAAAACAACGAGTTAATTCGCTATAATTCGAATTTCATGCGCATGTGAGATCGAATAGGAATACGAGTACGGTGGAGTGAGATTTATCGGATTGACGGTTTTCTCCGGCGAAAACGCGAGTAGCCGTAGTTGGAGGTGAAACGATGCGATTAATATTCGTCGAAGTATGAATTTCTGTCGGCAAATATGAGTGAGTTCATACAGACGCGAGTCCTTGTCCAAAATATAATATACATATTCTTATCTAATCATGAGCAATATAGTAATAAAGTAACAAAGACGCGAAAGCGTCAGCGGTAAATTGTATGTATTATTCGGCTCCAGCATATTATCCTTTCTGCGGCCGCGTTTTAATTCCTTTCGACGTCCCATGAATAAATGCGACCGTGAACGATTGACAAGATAATACACGTCGGCTCTTAGTACTTTCAGCACGCACGGTAACAGATTGCGTACGGTTAGCTTTTATCGCGGAAGACGACAGCAGAGAGAGAGAGAGAGAGACAAGGGCACATGTGTTTATCGCTACTGTTGAAAATCCGGAGAGGTTGTATTTCATATTAAAGACGTATCACATCGAGTCAAACGAAACATAAAATCTTGAGCTCGATTCTGGGAAACGTCTGAGATTATGTGCGACACAGATAGTAATTTGTAGATTCTTGTATCGTTCTAGTTACTTTGTTCGTGTCGCATGCGACATAATCTTGTACGTTTTCGAGAGTTTAGACCCTGTTTTTCGCTAAACTGAGCTACATTAACTTGTACTAGTTCTTTTTTCCTCTTCCACTAAATCTGTTCTTCTGCCTCTTTTTAAGTTCTATAAATATATATCAGTTCAGCGAAAAAGAACGTGCCTACATTTCCTACATTTGAACTCAGAAATCTCTCATTTATATTTATGAAACATTTTTGTTCGGATGGCGGTAACAAAAATTCCAACGCTGCTACTTATCACTTGATTTGTCAATGATTGCGAAACAAACCCAACAACACACATCGTGCACACAGATGGATAGATAAGAGATGTTACAAGTCATTCGTATATAATCATCATCATTGGAACTTTGCCGCTATTTCTATCCGGTAATATGAATTCATGTAGAAAATATCGATGAATCACCTCGGCTGCGTTTGAATATGTATACAGGAAAACGTATTTTTTCAAGCTGTTTATACAATGTTAATACGCATTATCTGTGTGTCGGAAACATCAGATGTCTGTTGACCCAGGTAAATAAGTCGCAATATGCCCCCTCGATATGCAATATTAATTACCTTATTGGTTGCTTCCTGAACAGGTTAAAACTGTTAGATATGCGATTACAATAATTAGACTAAATAATTCACGACGCGACGCGTTTTGCCGTTATATTAGCGGACGGTCGTCTTCGCACGTTAAACGACGATACCGAGGGTGAACGAGGCGTCAAACCGGCAACACGTGATCACGGACGCATCCGTTGCGAATCGGTCGCAGCTGCAATTCGTGAAATCGAGTGCGACGCTCGTCGTGCCGCACTCAAGCAGAGAGACGGACGCGAATGATCGCCTAGACGGAAACAATCCGTAAAGTAGTACACGCCGGTTTCATCGTCGGCCGCGCACGAGGTTTATTAATAATAGCAATGTAGCGTGAAATCTTCCCCCTCGTAGGTTCTCTTCCGTTGGTTCCCTTCCGCTCGCGGCGTTTCATAACTGGCCTTTTTACACCAACGCGAATGCAGGAGTAAGTTGCTTGCCTTGGAGTATGACAAGCGTGTACTTAGCAAGATCCATGACGAATCGGTCGGTTTTGATAAGAAAGAAACATGGTTTTTTTTTGCCTCATGCGAGACGGAGTCGGTGGCCGTTACGTAATTCTCACACTATATATTCTTCTGGGAATTCTCGAAAGCCTTAAAATTCTGCGAATCTCCGACTTGACACCAGTCTGACACCGGTATGTGCGATAACGTAGTTTAGACATTTATTTGTGGTTTGTTATATTACAAAGCGAGGATCGCAGGCGTGTTGTAAAATCAACCATCTGTCCTATTGCGTCGAATCCTGAATCCAAGCGAACTTTTTTTTTCCGTAGCTTCGTAATCGCAAATCGCCGCGGATAATTTCTACTCGTGTAACTTAATTCGTTGTACTCTAGACATTTAGCAATGGATTCGCCGTGATCGTTGGATCGTACATACAAGAGTGATAAATTTACATAACGTTCTGCGACGAAATGATACATATAACGTCAAGTATAATCGTATGACCGGCGGTGAGACTGAAAAAGTTCATGATTTGCGGTTTTTGAGTCCTTGGCGTCTTTTATTTTCTAACATTGAATATTAATTTTAATTTTCAATGTTAATTTTAATGAAGTTTCTTACATTGCTTCTTGCGCGCCTTCTTCAATTTGATCGATGATCTATGATCTCGTAACAGAGTACGGAATGCTTGCACGATATCATTCAGAATGTTGATCATCTATTGCAGGTGCGGGGATATGCGATTAGTGTATCATCTGTGCGATATCAGTTTACACGTGTTCTCATTGTTCATCAATATAATTCTTAGGCAATTCTCAGTACAATCGATTGTGCCAGTAATTGCAACAATAACAGTCGTCAGCTACGCGCGAAAAACACCGACAGATCGTGGTCGGTTTATGCAAATCACACGTGACCGGACGGTTACGTAAAATTTACATTTTTTCACAAGTTCTTTTTTCAATTTTCGCCTGAAAGAACGTCGCTCGTGTAATCATATTTTTTCTAACTAGCGATATGCAGAAATTCGCAATTTCGATTGTATTACCGACCCAACATCTGTTTTATACAGGTAATCAGACTTGCAAATGGATTTGAGAGCGTATAATTTTTTATCGCGTATAATATTTTATTTATATTTATTCATCTGTTGCATTTATCCTTGAATGTGCCATTGTTTTTGCAGAAATTATCATTTAACGAGCGAGTGATATTAGGAAATCGTTCTGTCACGCAAGTCAGTGCAAAGTTCACAAGTTCGAAAGTTAATCGAGTCGAAGTATCGAAGTACGCGTATACCGACGGATAAGATAACAGTTATCACACACGGATGAATCTAAGTTGGTGCCTATCAGACATTATCGGATGGTGATAAGAATAGTTTTATTTTCTTCCCTCAACTGGCAATGCACAAAAGGCTTCGAAAACATGTTCTTCTCTTTCATAAGAAAATTTTCATTTTACTGTTTCATTTTTATTTTACTGTGTCAAATAATCCGTTATCTTATCAACAAAGAATGTCGAATATACGAAGAATACGTTTCGAGACTGTGAAAAATCTTCGCGAACAAGAGCGATCTTGAACACTTGTGCTTTCCTGTCGTTCTGCAGCCGAATTTTCCAATTGTCACGGCAAGAAGTACCGATGAAACGCAAACGCGTTCACTCTGTCGCGTTCGATTTCAATGAAGTCACGAACCTCGGAAACTCAATCGACGCGGTGTCGAATCTTCTCGCATACGTGATCGCGTCACGTTCGTTAAATACGTTGTCGAGGACGACGTCATCTATGCGCTGCGGATGTGGGTGCATCGCGGCTTATTTCTACGCGCTTAAGAGACGCATGTGCTCGTAAAATTAGGTCAGTGACGTTAATTTGGACACTGGCACGCGGTCGAGCAAAGTTGACCAAGGTTGATACTCGTGATACGTTACGCAGGGAAGACATCGGTTACTCGTAACCCTGAAACGAACGCGCGCGTGATATATGGGCGTTATGCGGGATAA